TGCAAATAACAACGTTCGATAACAACACCAACTCAAGTGACAACCACTGATAGCAACTCTGAGAACTCTCTCTTCAACTTTGGCTTTTCAACTACGACTGACCTTTTCCACCGCGTCCTGTCTCTTAAAACTACGTTAAAAGCTACATTATATTCTACAGAATACTATAATATTGTGTAACATGCATTTGATGATAGATTTTTGTTTGTTATTTGTTCCTCAGATTCGCCGATGATATCGAATTGATGACCGGTAACCGTCCAGGTCTCTACTGGCTGATCTGTTGGAAATATCTCAGCCCGTTGGCAATGTTAAGCATTTTAATCGCTTCCATCGTGGAAATAATTGTCGATGGAAGCGGATATCCAGCTTGGATCGCCAGCAAAGGTATCACGGAGAGACACGAGTGGCCAATGTGGGCGTTGATTCTCATCGGTATTCTCATTCTTGCATCTGTTCTTTGGATTCCTACAGTTGCCATTTGCAGGTATAGCTTCATATTCAAACATAATTATCTTCAGTTAAAGGAATAACGTAAAAAAGAAAATTTTCAGATTTTTCATTAAAAATGATCATACTACTATTTTTCATTATAAATGATCATATTACTGTTTTTTTTTCAAAACAATTGGTATTAGTTACTTGTCAAAATAAAACAAACTATTAACACGTTTGCTATCAACGTAGAAAAAGATGATAACATGTATGTAGGAAATCAAAATTTGTTTTCTTAAATATCATTTGTATTTTGTGAAGACGATACGTTTTTTTTAACACTACGTTTACGAAACGCGTCAATCTGACGCACATTGAATTTTATAAACATTATTTGATAAATGTTTACGTTGATACTACATATTACGAATATGTATCCTAATTGTTTATTTTTAAATCTCTAATTTACAAGGTCCAAATGGATGGACAATAATTTTTCTACGAACAACAAAATAAACTGCACAATAAATGCCCGTAAACCTAGTATTAATAAAATATTATGACCTTGAAAGCTGCTGTTAAAATAAGTGCTGGTAGCAAATGGATTAAAAAGATCCTGATAAAAGCTGAACATCTATTCATGTCATTTGTTATCCAATTTAGACTCTTTGGAATACTTATAATCGAAGATAATGAGAAAGCCTGGTTCCCAGCGGCTGATTTGAAAGAATTTCATGGAATCGTGCCTCACGAAGTTACGCCTGCTGAAACATTGTTGTTCTGCATTAGAAGCGATGGATCCGAGGGACTCTGTTGCCCGACCGGTGGTCCCAGCGATGACGACGAAGATCTCACCTAGGAATGGTTATCGTCGTTCACGTTGGAATAGTATGTGTTTAAATGGTTCATAAACCAGGAAACAGCGTTTCTTCGATCCATTTTTCGCATTGATCTTCAACGCACCCTGTCTTACTCCGCATTATAGCCGCAAATCGTAATTTATCAGCATTCATTTTAATTCTAGGCTAATTCCGGGTGAGATGGCCCGACCTCATTAAAATTGTCAAATAGTTTCAATTTTTTTTTAGTGATATACTGAATCTTGTACAGATACTTATTTAACTATTCTATTTAAATAGATATATTTATTTTTATAAATATATTTCACTTTTTGTCAGGTATCAATAATATTCATGATGTATTAGTTCCTCTTTTAAAACAGAGCCATCTCTCCCCGACTTACCCCATAGAAAGGTACAAAGGTATATCGTGTCAATTACTCCAATGAAGAAACATATGGGTGATCTGGCCTGTACGTGTATTACATTCGCCGAATTTTTTTAACCGATTTTCTGTTTTATAAAGAATACAGACGACAATTCGAATTCGAAAGAACCAACGAAAAGAGAAACTATACAAGATCGAGTTTCATTTTAAGCATGTTTCTCCGCTGTTTTTTGAAGTTTCTGAACCATTTCGTAACACGCACACATGTCAATAATAATCCAGATGATATATCGTGATAAAAAATGTGCGGTATATAGGTAATTTCCAATAGCATGACGAAGGATGAAAGAAGTAAACGCGAACGAACGAGAAACTGGTGAGTTCGATGTAGATGACAATACAAAGTTCGCGTTTCGGATTGAACTTGCAGTTTCTTAACGCATGAAGATGTGTTTGCGTATAATACATCTCAGTACCGTGTATAATTATATAATTCTTTCTTTGATCGTACGTTACATTGCGTTTAAAAAATTACATAATAAAGAAAAGAAAAATTGCATTATAAAGAAAAGAAAAATTACATTATGAAGAAAAGAAACATTGCATTACAAGGAAAACAAAAATTGCATTATAAACAAAACAAGAATTAGAATAATAGAAACTGAATACGAAGCATCATAATATCATAAGATATGATATAATCGTATTAAAGCGTAATGAAACTAAAAATGTAACAAGCGACGAAAGTAAACGTGTGAAGTGTCAGCAACAGATCCGCGTTAAATGACATAAACTTACGATACATTTTAAAATATGTTTCCAAACTGCTCATTACGAGGTGTATCATACGTACACGAATTATTTAGTGCGTAATATACCATCTTAGCATTTGCAATACATATTCGTAAAGGTCAACTTAAAACAGATAACGAATCATTGAGAAAGGAAATTGAACTAGCATAAAGTTAAAGTTAGAAACGAGACACTTTTACTCTTAGCGATCGCAAGTTACGTGAAATGTAAGGATAGAGTAGGAACCGTCCAATGGGCGTGAACAGAACGTTCCCGAATCATTTACTCGTTTCCGGTTTTATAAGGTGTCTGGCAGCTTTACTCCTGATTGGTTCTCGGTAAATTAACATTTTTCTTCAAGTTCCATACGGAATCACGTACAAAAATTTCTAGTAAATAGTTAACCCTAGACAACTGAATTTAAAACAGTATTACTCTGTAATTAAACATTCGACTCATAGACTACAAACGAAGACATACATATCTTTATATTTCTTCTACTTATTTTAAACAAAGTGGATAATACAATTTGACGCTAAACGTACCACGCTCGGTCGAATCACTTATAAAATGATACTTTCAAATAACAAAATGCATCTATAATTTTCTGTTCTCGTTAAAAACAAATCAAGATATATAATCTTTTTGTTATTATTCAAAAGTTATTTTGTGCATTGTTTCGCAAAAACGTGATCAGTAGTTAAAGTCCCGATACGTTTAGTGTTAAGATATGTATTATTGGTTTTTAATTGAAAAATAGAAAAACATTCAAAGTACCGTTTGCAGTCTTAGCATATGTTAACCTGTTAACTGTGGAATTATAGTATCAAAAATCTCTTGTTTTGAAAAATAAGTAATTCATCGTTGAAAGAATTAGTATCATTTCAAGTTTCGAGATGACGCGTATGCTCGTCAAACGCAGTTAACCGATTAAAAGTGTGCTCCCAAATTCGAATTCGCAAAATTGACAAAGGTCGTTAAATTATTTTGTAGAATGTCAGTTATCTAGGCTTAAAAAAAGGGTATCGACAGCCTTCTATCGGATCATATCGTATAACTTTTTCGGACGGAGTGAGGTAGATTTTAACGGGCGATGCGTGTTCTCATTGAGCCCTATCACTTCAATGATGAGTTTAATAGTCGATCAATTAATTTATCAGAATTGTGACATATCTCACTTGTCGAATGAGAATCGTGTATTTTCTAAGCCGACAATAAGAAGAATATTTATCGTATAGAGAGAATTGATCAGCAAGATTGGTAGTAAGATCATCGATAGTACAACAGGGACGGTTAACACTTAGCCAACCGAATTTATTTCTTGTTTGGTATTTAGTCAGCTTTCAACTGGAGAAATTTGCAATTTATTAATACTAACCATAGCGGTAGTTTTACTACCATAATCAGTCAAATAACTGGCTACAAAATAAAAATAAACAAGTCAGATATATTTTTTTTTAATGGAAACAAAAACAAAAGGAAAGACAAAAGTTGAGGAACAGATTAATTAGACAATACAGGAAATCATATAAAGTTAAATAAACGAAAGAAAATACGGAATTTTAAATCCAGTCATTTGACCGGTCCTTGGTACTGTTAGTGTTAACACATTCGCGACCGGCGAAGCCAAATTTTTCGCTTTTCTAATACTCATTGCTGGTGAAAATGAAGAAAATCTTAAACTATTCGCCGCAAATATCTGACGTTGAAACAGGGATAAAAATTCGAAAATTCCTTTTGAAATATTAATCTTGTAACGATCTGTTGTTTGAAATGAAGTACTTTCCGTTAAAGAAGCCGCAAATAGAGAAGAGCAAAAGAATCAAATATTTTGAAAGTTATTCTATTGGATTGATGCAAAAGTTTCGACGTTTTTTTATAAGAAATGAAAGAAGAGTTCTCAACTATTCGCAAAACCAAAACTAAATAAAAAGGAAGAAAGAAATGTCCTTTCTACACATTATAATAGTTTGCAAATAGATATTATTTGTTTGGAAGTAAACACTTGTTTGTTAACCACGTACAAGAAACATCAAAATTGTTCCATCAACAAAATATTTGTAAAAAGGCGAATTCGCGTCAGCGGTCGCGAATGTGTCAAGTACCTTCCTTACTTTTATGAAATACAATCTTGAATGAAATCTGTTGAACGAATTCAATTAAAATGAATGAAGAAGGTTGTAATTATATGGTTTCTTCTCAGCCGGTTGCCTAAGTGTTAAAATGGGAAAATGAGGGAAATGAACGCATATCAAAAAAAAGATATATCAGACGCGTAAATTTATTTGCAATTTTAGCGTGGGCTCGTCAAGGAGCACTCTAATATATAAGGACAATAACAAATTTCATAAGACTCGAGGTTGAGGATACATTGTGCGACAATAACACAATTTAATCGATTAAAATGAATCTATTCGGAAATTCGGCAATACGGTCAATGTTTACACTGCACTTCTTGCACATTCACAGAGGCCTATAAAATCGTGAAGTTGGCGCGCCGAATCGAAGGAATAGCATGTTTTCTTTTGATACTTCTATACTTTAATGGTACAGAATACTTGCTAACTATTCAGGGAAACTTGATTGGTCAATAGTGTTGAAAACAGAATATCGATTTACCTTAAAAAGAAGGTTTTGACAAATATAGGTTGGCATGTTAATCGTTAATCATTTTCGATTCTTCTTTGTATCTCAATGTTAGATCTAGTAAATAATAACTTTTACTTGCTTTCTCGAAATTTATATCTGATTGAAGTATATTATTTTATAAGAATTCTTTTATTTTATACTATTTTTATATTGTTTCATAAAAATAACTTTATTATTGTTTAGTAATACTCCAGAGTGTATGGTAAAAGTTTCTTACAATTTATAATGTTCAATTTAAAGCTCATACTGCTATAATTATTAATAATTGTTCATTCACATTATTAATTTAAATGAATTCAAATTAATTTTCATTATTAATTAAAAAAAAGTAAAAAATAAATATCGTTAAAATTACTAATTCACCGATCTATATGAAGAATAATTACTCTGTCGTTTAATAAAATTTATCAACTGATTACTCTTTTGACCTCTGGTTGAAAAATACTGTGCATAAGTGTCCGTATTAAATAATTCTTTTCAACAAGACATTTATATCATGCACCTAATGTAGAACATTTTTCGAAAAGAAGATTTACATTATAAATCGGTCTAGAAGACGTGTTTGTCTATTCGAATATCTAAATTGACAATAAGGATTGAGTACGATTAGCGGGCGGATCTATTCCTTCGATGAAAAGGATTGTCTAGCAGCGAAGACTAGAGGAATAGTGAGATGCGCTCAAATCACGTCTATTTGTACTTCGGATCTCTCTATTTTGTATGTGCGCTTTTGGGTATGGTCTTACCCCTTTCTAACAAATTGTTGATCACGAATCTGTTATATTACGAACCGAAAACAAAGTATTTCGTAACACCAGGAATAGGTAAATTGGCCATCAATGTGAACGAGAGAATTTATCCCCGTTTTCAATTAACTATAGCTATACCTATTTCTCGTTTTTAAACTACATACACTCATATGGATCGTTCTTTGTTTATCAAGAAGGTGCTAAACTGTAATAACATAAGAGTGATTTAATACGAAACGATAATAACTACATTATATATACATATTATATATATTATATCGTTAATGATATGTCGTTAATGATAGTAATCGTTAAGATCCTTTCACTCGATTAAACGATTATATTCGACAATAATTCTGTTGCTCCTAATCGGTTAGTGATTTACATATATTCGCATGTTACGTTTATTCGTATGACATAGATCAGCTGTAAATAATTGTTGAAGTGTCTTTTAACCTGTAAAATGACAATAAATTGCGGACGAGGGTTTGCCACGCAGAACGAGGAACGAAGTATCTCCCTAAAATGGATAGTACAAATTTTTTCTTTTACGATGGAACGTTTCGTGGCGCGGTTGCGTTTGATACGGAACATTATGGAATATCAGACAATAAACTGGAATAAAATTTCGTTTCTCGTATCTATAATATATTCAACTCGGGCCTCGAGCGGCTATGTTACAATAAGCACTGCGTTGAAGTTTCATAAGCTACATGTTGTATAATTGTATTAGTGTCATTCAGAAATTATTGGAATATTGTTAGTCTGTAGGGAGGAGTTGATTCTTCATCTAAAACACATTCAAAAGGTAAAATTACGTTTTTCGTGTATACCTTCTTGTTCGTGAAAACTTAATTTTAAAGTTGATCTGATATGGTACTTTGATACAATTTGCCTCAACTTTTTGTGCTTTATTGATTATTCTTTACCCTTCTGTTTATACTAATATTGTTTATTAATAATGACAATAATATTTCATAATGTCCTAATATAAATTAATATTTAAAATTATTAATATTTTAAATTATAAAGCTACAAATGTCTATTATGAAAAACAATAATTATTAAAGTATATACTCATTGAATAAATGTATTGGAAAGCTTCCAAGCCTGGCGAAATCTCAAAATGTTGAAGAAAGGTTTTTTTGAAAATCTACGTGCATTCAAATTTTATTTCACCTCTTTGATACATTTTTATATGTCGAATCACTTCTTCATTGGTAGTCGTAATCTTGATAAAAACACTTATATTCGTGATTGAAAGACAAAATAATATAAGTTGTATCTTCCCACTTTCGAGACATAGTGGGTTAAAGTTTCCAGTATTAATGTTTTTCGTAATAAGTACGTAACAATTATGTAATTGGTTTAATAATTACAGCTGCTTTGCAATTTTGATTCACTTATTTTACGCATTCCAATGTTTGTGTGAGTCTTTAAATATTTAATACTTAATATTTATCGTACTCTTATTGTATAAAGACAAATTTTTCTAATTCGTTCTTTTAATTAAAATATTACAAAACATTTACCTTTGTTACTCTGGTTAAGGTTTGAACTGAAATTTAAAAGAAAATCAATATTAATTTCAATAAAAGTACAAACACAAATAAATAGTAGATGTTTATGCAAATGAAAATTATTATTCATTAATTCACAAGAAATAGATTAAAACTACAATTATTTTTTTGTATTAAATGTTCAGTTAGGTGGCATATAAATGAAAAATTGTATTAACTTTAAATGAATTTGTTACAATACACCGTTTTGAAAAACAGTGTATGCTACAGTACAAATGTATAAAAGTTGCAATCTATAACATAAAAAATTATTATAAATTAAGCATATTTCTCGAGTTATATTGATCCTAACAGCGAGTGAGATTTAATTGTTACTCATGTATCTTAATGATTTTTCGAATGGTTTATCTTATAAATAATAGAATACGCTTAAAAAATTGTGTATCGAGCGAACGGCGGGTTAATTTTGCCCCGTAAAGGTGTTTCTTTCCTCCATGACATAAAATAAATATGAGAAACAAATATTAACAGATTCTGATACACATTTACAAATTTAAATGAATCCGTAAAATGTATTCATTAAAAGAAAAAAGATTGAAATGAAAAAGTGTTGTTAATATAAACGCAATATTAATATAAAGATAAGTATCTTTCGCCATCCACAAAATTTGGAATGAAAAAAACTAAACGATTAACTTTTACTTAACCATTAATCAATTAAAAATAATTTTTAACGTGTTTAATTATCATCTGTTTCGTTTCCAAAATAAGAAAGTGTTTTATAACTTAAATTTCAACTTTATTATCTATATTGTATTTTATTTACACACATTTCACGGTACGTCTTATAGAATCTAAATTTTAAATGGTACGCTACATACAAATTTCATTTCTTACATTTAAAACTAAATTATAGGAAATACTATTTTAAAAATGTTCAATTTTAATTACTTTTTATTCCATTAAATTGCTCATCATTAAAGAAATTCGTATGTAACATTTAATGGCACTAAGTTACTTAAGTAATGTAAGCAAATTTAAGTGCAGCAAAACGAATTGTATTTGACGATAGAAGGAAGGTTCAACAATAAATTCAAATAATCACGACAAAATTTGTCATAAATGTTTCGAATACAGACAGATTACGAAACACAAAGGGAAATAAATTGATGAGCTTTCTCTTCATGCATATATTCTTCCTGTTTGAGCGTGCACTGTAGAACAGTTAACAGAATTCTACCCAATTATTATATAATCGTTAGAAAAAAGGGGATATATATTGTTTAGACGAACAAGATAACGATGAAGAAGCTTATACTTTTACAAATATTTTTCCGTTACAAATAGAGAATGTTCTATAACAGTATATTCTCTTACGCCTCTTACTTGAATTTGTTGAAATTCGTAATCCGTTTGCAACCGCTCGAGGCTTAAACGAATAACATTAAGTGGTGTGAACATCAATATGGCGAATGAACGATGTCAATAATATCTATCAATACTATTTAGGGTCTGGATTAGGTAATTGCACGCTTAATTAATAATAAAACGAAAAAAAAACGGTAATACCGAGTTTTATAGTGAAATTTCCATCGATTGAGATTTTTCATCGATTGAGTAAACATTGTTACGTTTCTTCGTTATTTTGTTGTTGATCCAACCGGTTTCGGTATGTGTGTACGAAGTTGTGTGTCCATCCATATTAAAAATGCAATTAAAGAGTGAACTAAGAAGGCTGTGTATCCGGGAGTGGAACGAGAGTGTGGGCTACAAAATTAGTTTTCAGAGATGATTCGTGTTATTAAAGTTTTATTCACGATACATCGTATCAGATAGCCAGACCTCGATGTAGCTTATGCAATAAAATAAATAAGGTACACAGATGCGGAAGGTAGCTAATGTTATAATTAATTATATATATATATATATATATATAATATATAAAGATAAATATAAATATATATTATATATATACATATACATATACATATACATATATGTAATGAGTATATATACACTTATATTACGTATACGTAAAACTGTACATATATATATTGTTGTCAGTTGAATGTTAAAATAAATACCGTGCGTGAATATGGACCTGTAATTGCATTTTGATTAACCATTTAGTTCTTTCATCGTTCAGTTAATTGTCACATAACAGCAAGATAATATTATGAGATATATTTAACTAAAGCTTAATCAGTTTTAACAACAGTTTTAATAGATAAATTGTTAACACAAAATGAACTCCCGTACTCATGATTTCACGACTCAAACATACGATAACTTATTTCTTATAATTCTTTGATATAATTCTTTCTTGTCATTCTTTGATATAATTCTTTCTTGTCATTCTTTCTTGTAATTCTTTCTTATATTTCTTTCTTGTCATTCTTTCTTGTAATTCTTTCTTATATTTCTGTCTTGTCATTCTTTCTTGTAATTCTTTCTTATATTTCTTTCTTGTCATTCTTTCTTGTAATTCTTTCTTATAATTCTTCCAATGTTCCTTTTTTCTTCACTTAGATTTAAACTCAAGAAAGGAAACATCCACTAAGGGATTAGTTTCGATTGCGGTAATATTAATCCATTGGTTCAGGGGGGAAAGGTTGATAAATACAACCACCTCCCTGGGTCTCCACTTGCAGCAACCTCCACGTGATGAGACCTGGGCAATTATGTACCATTATCCGTATTACAATATTTTCTGTAAAAGGATCATGGCAGGCTAATTTTATAATTTAAATGTGAAATATGCAATCATCAGCAGGTAGACACTATTTACGTTTTTTGTGGAGAGCTATTTAACTTGTGTACTTTTTAGTATGTTCACTATTTCAGCGTATAATTAAAGTATGTAGAAAATTGTTCAAGCTCGAAGCAAGGAGAATAGTTAGATTGTATTTATTCACGGTACGAAGTATGTACTTTACAGTTAGTGATTAAAAATTTGGTGGAAAATAATTTTCAAAATTTCTATGGAATAGTTCTGAATTTTTCAGATATAAAAATTAATTGTTTGAAAAATAATAAAAACTTCACAGATTATATTATGCAAGTAAATTATGTACTTTTCAGTATCCATATTGTACTGTATTGTATTTTGAAATTGTGAACTACATTTAATACTCTACTAAATGTCTATAAGAAATTACGAGTATATACGAAAATGTAATATTGAGACAAAAAAAATAAAATTTGTATTTATTTAGTTGTTTTATTTCTGTTTATTTGTATTTATTCATACTCTGTTGGTAACGTTGTAAGTGATACGAGAATGCTAAAGGAGTTTCGTAATATCTCGTCACAGACAAAAATTTAGATTGCGTGTCCAGTCTATCCTATATCTCGTTGGTGGCTGTATTTACTTTCACTTTGATGATAACGTTGTAAGTGACCGGTGGATGGTAAATGGATCACGTAACCCCCGAACCGCGGGACAAAAATTTACATTGGATGTTCAATCTATTCCATTTTTTGTCTATCGCGGTATATTAATATTTAGCGTAAGGTGGCAATGCTGATAATTGTAATTACAATGACAAATTCAATGTTTTTTATTGAAAAAAACGTTATAACTATTTCAGAGCCATAGTGTTAGAATTTACTTCAACAACTTTATCTTTGAAACTTTTATTAAGAATAATTCTTTTATCATTGAATTTCGAGTATATGTTATATAATATTATTTGTTTGAAATTACATTCTAAATCAACTGCCAAAGTTTCATTTCCGTAGATAAAAATACCTCCTATAAGGGTAGTTTTTATCCTATTAAAAATATAATACAAGAATTAGATTTTACGATGTCAGAAACCCTTAAACTTGATCTGTTCGTGGTAAATGACATGTAACTTAAAAATATATTATCAGTTTTGGGAACGATTTCGTAAAATTTCGTTATTGTAAGTCGCCTGCATTGAGCGCGTCACATCATATGTGCTTACTGACAAGAAATTGAGTCGTAGAAAGAGTAAGGTATATAGAGTGGGAGATAAATTTTGATCTGTTTTAGCCCTTGCGCATGTTTAGCTTATTGGTAAATAGTCAGCACAGAGAAGAGAAACCTGTCGTAGTTTATCGATAAAATAGTTGCATAAATCTCAAGCTTATATTTAATTTTATATTACCCGTCTCTATGTTAAAGGAGGCTTTTTCTATACTGTCTAAAAGACAGGTTTATCATTAGTTTGTTTGCAACGTTGCTGGACTTACTTGCCTTTAATGTCATTAGATACCTTTTAACCTACTAAATTATTTAATTGATTTTTCCTTATTATAATTATAGAAATATGTGTTTTACTGAAATTTTCATGGCACAATATAAACAATATAATATTCGTGTAATGTAGGAAACATTGTCATCTAACGATATAAATATTATTCGATTATTTTGCCGTATGAACCGGCAATTTCACTTAGTTTGATTTTTAAGTGTCTGATTTGACTTTCACTCTGTTTTGGAAATATAGTTCTCTTATCCTTCTTTTTGTGGGACAGATGAATTTTTTTCTATTACTTCAAAAAATTCGCCGCTACATTTTCCCGCAAACCGCTCGTGTGCATTTGAATATTTAACATATTTTTTGAATGCCCATTGGAAAGCCTTTATGTATAATTTAATCACAAATAACATAGATACAATTTTTTCTTACAGGCGTATATAATTCCAGGTGAATTTTAAATGTAAATTATATAAACAACACACTTGGTTGACAAGAACTATAAACATAGTTCAAGGAATCATCATGGATAACACTAGATATTATAATAATCCTTTTGAAGACTATCCTAATCCAACAGCTCAACAGCTTATAAATACTAATACGAAAGAGGTAATTATACATATTGTTTATAGATACAAATATAAGAATATTAAAAAGCTTTTGTATCTATTAGATTAATGAAAATTATAAAGAGACATTATATACATGTACCAAAAAATTGTTGGACCACTTGGAAGAAAAGAAAAAACATTGGATAAGCAATGACGATTGCTCTGTGTACACAGGATCAACTGGAATTGCATATGTTTTCTATCATTATGGAAAATGTTTTAATGAACCCACTTATATTGAGGTAAATGCAACTTTATATGTTTTATTAATTTTTTTTTAATTCAAATATATAATTAGTTGTACTGAAATTAGAACTTTTTGTACAGAAAGCAGCAGAACTGTTAAAAGCATGTGTAAGTAAATTCAGAGGTAGACGCGAAATTACGTTTCTAACTGGCATTGCTGGTCCATTGGCTTTGTATGCCATTATTCTTCATTTGCAAGAGAACAAACAGGAATCTCAAAATATGATAACCAAGTAGGCACATACATATATTCTATTCATATTTCACACGTGCATGAAACAGTTCTTATATTTTCTTTCAGATTAAAATCATTGTCATCTCTTATTATGGATATACATAGTAATTTACCCAATGAACTTCTTCAAGGAAGGGTTGGGTACCTATTTTCCCTCCTCTTTCTAAACTCGCATATATCTCCCCCACCTATAGAGGACAAGCTTATTAAGCAGGTACAGATCTGAAATTAGGATAAATAAAATTAAGGTAACACTGATTAATCCAATACAGATGTAGTCATAAAAAATATTATATCAGGTCATTGCAATCATAATTCAATCAGGAAATATGTATTCTGCATCAACAAAGTACAAAACACCTTTAATGTATGCTTGGCATGATTCAGAATACCTTGGTGGTGCACATGGATTAGGTGGAATACTTTATATATTGTTGCAAGTATGATAATTTCATAGTTATGTTTTCAGTTTAAAAATATAATGTACAAATATTAATGCTCTACATATGTATTTTATAGGCACGACAATATTTAACACAATCTCAATTAGAAAACGATATAAACCCAGCGTTGCAGTTTCTTCAAAATTTACGTTATCCATCTGGAAATTTTCCATCATCTATTGGAAGTAATACTGACAAATTGGTGCATTGGTGTCATGGTGCACCTGGAATGTCCATGCTATTCAACTTAGCTTACGAGGTTACTATTTATAGTAAAATTAACGAATATACCGAATGTACCGTGGATTAAAAAGTATTAAATGTAACTATTTACATGTTTAAATAGATATATAAAGACGAGCAGTACCTAAAGACCGCACTGCAATGTGGTGAAGTGATTTGGAAAAGGGGATTACTTAAAAGAGGATATGGAATATGTCACGGAGTAGCTGGGAATGCTTATACGTTCTTGTGTCTGTTCCAGCAAACGAAAGTTAGAATTTTTTAACAGATTATATTTTGAATATGTTTTTACTGAAATTGTTTAATAAATAGTATTAAATCATTAATCTTGTTTAAGGACGTAAAACACTTGTACAGAGCCTGCAAATTTGCGGACTGGTGCATGGATTATGGAACACATCAGACTAGATCTCCTGATAGACCATTTTCATTGTTTGAAGGTATGATTTTCATCATTCTCCAATTATTTTCAATTAATAATATGTACATTATTTTAGGTCTTGCCGGTACCATTTACTTTTTAATTGACATGCAAAATCCATCTTCAGCTAAATTTCCAGGATATACCGTGTAGATGCAGACCTTTGATTATTTCGATTTGTTTACTACAAGTATTCGATTAATATAGGATTTATTAAACAATCTTCTAATCACCATAAACGAATTCGGTTCCCTCACTCGTTGAATTTGTGTGCATTTACATGTGAGAGCATGTAATTCAATGTATTCTTTATTGACAAATAAATCATACAATTCATAGATTTTATTACAGAATATTATTATAAAAGAAACGATATAAAGCACTAATAGTTTTGCGTCGCCCAAGTACTCGAAAGAGACAATAGTAAAAGAGAAACCTCGATCACGGTGTACCGATAAATCCGCCGTGTATATTGGTCAACGACCCATTAATATTCATGACGAGTCGTGCAATGGTATTTGTAAACGTGTAAAGAGAAATACTCAAAATACTGGTGTCATTTAAAGCTTTTGTTGATTTCAAAGCATTGACCCCATTGTAACAACAGATATCATTTTCCCTTACGTATTAAAATAACGATATATTCAGAATCATCTTATCTTACGGGTTCCTTGACACGTTCCTGAATGCTATAGCATTCATTTTTATTGTGATTCAAAACGACATAAATGCTATAACTTTCAAATTTACAAGCCACATTATCATGCATTGAATTCTATATAGCCTTAATCTTTTAAAATTATTGTGCACTTTAACCCTCGTAGTACTGCATTTATCGCGTATCTATTTTTGCAGTATTATTACACTCTGTGCTTAATTTTTTAAATAATTTAGAATTCCTTTGAACAGGAAAGATCCGAAATTATCCCAAGAAATTGTGTAATCAGTAGAACTGCGAATCATGAACACCGGTACGCGGTGAATGATCGGTGACCATAATATTGTGTTAATTACACCTGATTTGAAAGACTGATGAAGCCACAGTACACCTGACGATCGAAAGTATAAGTGGTCAACGAGTGCTTCTTCCTGCAACTTTTAACAAGGTGGATCATCGCTGGACGGGCAAGAGTGGTGTGCCGTGCCGTCGCGTTGTCCATCTCGAGTATAAAAGCCGCTTCTGCCGGCGCCGCGCTCAGTTTCGCTCCGTAGCGACCGATTCTGAAACGACGCTCTTGACGTGAGTACCATTAGCAACGACGTAGATTGCTTTTCACAATCACTGAATTGGTTCTCACCCGTTACCCCTTAAAACTGTATCAAGTGTTATACAACAGCACCAATATAATTCCATAAGCGGATAAAAAATAAAAAAAATCACTATACCCGTTTGATTGTTCGCATTCTCTTCTATTAACGTGCAAGCCATTTAACTAAACAACGATACTTAATATAGTTGATATTTTATACATTTCTTTAATAATTATAAATTAAATATACATGCATACAAGTTATGTACAATTTGTTTGTGACTCAAACGGGCTCGATATTTATTAACAACTGTTTTTGATTCTCTACCATCGTTAATCTTGTGATCATAAACCACTGTATATATGTTACACTTTACAAGCTGCAGACATTTGTACAAACTCATATTTTAAAATATTAATTAATGAATTGTCATTACTAACTCCTGTAAATATATAAAAATCCACACTCTGTGCATCGTCCGTCCGTTCTTGCTTTTTATCATACATCGGTTCTTGTTGTGTAACTTTAATGTCTTATTGTCTGTGTTATTATAATCGTCTCGTCGAAAACGGAACCGGTGAGAAGCAACGATCTGAGAACGATCTCTTGATCTCACAACGGTTTATTGCTCTCGAGAGGCTACGGTGAAAGTGAGAGCGCGTCCTAAGAACAAAATTAGCGTAGTTTGTTATTAGTGGATTATGGTATTTTGTAGATTTATAGCATATGTGATTATTATCAAAAAGTCAGTACAATAAGAAATTTAATAAAGTTACATAAGATGCTTTGTTTATGTAAAATTTAACCATAGCTTCAATGAATTTAACAAATATTTAGTTAACTATAATTTCTATAAAAATGTATAATGGTGTGACCATTTTAAACCTTTAATTATCAATCTTATCTCCCAAAGAAACTAACGCGAAATACTCATATAATAATTTGGTGATATTACGAATTTTTTTATTTCAACATAGCATAATTAGAGATTAAAAATTGTTCATCAAGATTTTTTACTATTCTGAATCTTTTCAGTTGCGAGAAACTACGACTTCAGTGATAATACTATTCATTATTAGACTACAAATGTTCATACAAATATAGATTCCTCACCATCATATTTAAAAAATGGTAATTGAACGGAATCTTGTTTATTTTAATACAGATTTTGTGGGATATAAAGTATGTTACAAATCCGTCAAAATCTCACTCTAATTATTGTCATTAAATGGTATTAAGACCCCGCTTTACAATTTATAAGGTCAATTCTTTATTATTGTAAGAACTTCTATCACTGCCAGAAGACTAATTAATACAAAGAATTATTCGTTACTGTATAAAATATTACATATTCTTACAACATAGTGAAAAACGTTATTTACGATAATCCTGAATTTTGTTAACTATCATTCAAGTATACTTTGTGTAATGTAAATTTTGATTGTTCATACATGGATGTCGCAAAGTTGCATACAATCGGGCGCTGCTTTTCTCATATAATTATATCGGAGGGTATAAAACGTGATTTATATATTTTCGGACGCAGTTTGACCAATAAAAAAATTGTTCTTCAAACCAATCTGTAACTAACTAACTGAGCGTTCTAAATGTAACACTGATCCGTGTACTTAATTGCGTCAGAAATAGTTTCAAGAACCGGATCGAGCATCCCTCTCACATCGCGACAAAATACACGATAAGTGTCGTTCCAGATTCCAACCTGTTTCTTAGTACGGAAACACGTGGGAAAGTTCTCAATCCACGCACAAACCTGATCATATACTGAATCAATGTTAGACAGAAAATACTAAACTTCAATCATTTTTTTACATAACATTATCAATCATTTATTCGTATAATTTACAAGAAATTTATTCTGTCAAATACGTGAAAAAAATGGATAAAAATTAAATCTTCTGTATACTTTTTTAATAATTGAGTTATTAATAAAATTCAAAATCGATATCAAACTAATTTCAAAATTAAGTCTAATTTCAATGTGACACTTTGTTAATTTTTGTTAGAAAAAACTATTAAAGAATTAAATATGACTAAATATACTAATTTTCAGATGGCTATCCATCTAACGTTGTTAGCGCTGCTGCTCGTGGCAAGTGCATCTTTGGCATATCCACAAAAAGATGGCCAGATTTTTAGCAACGAGGCCATAAAGCAAGCACAAAATACCTACCTTATTCCGAAAGACGCAACGATACAGAAAGTACAAGAGGGTATTGAATTGGCGGCTTACGAGTCAATTCCAGGCGATCAAAAAATCAACCTTTTTGAGATCTTGGGAGAACATGTGCCACCGGAAGTGGTGAACAACCTTCAAGCTCAAATTGATCAAATAGGACGACCTTAGAACTGGATCTTGTTTCTTCACCATCTAAATCTTTCTTGTAAAAAAATTCTTTAGTCCTAAGTTTTGTAACGAATATTTATGACATGTGATCTTTTTTTAACTATGTATTTAGAATTTCCACTTTTCGTAAATAAATGTTTGAAAACATAACCTGTGTCCTCATATTACAATGCTCTTTAAATAATAAACAATATTTCAGCGAAGAAAAGTATAAAATAACATTATAAAAGTAAACTAAAAAAAAATTAGCATAAACAAATTTATTTGAAAAATTACTGTTCTTGTATGTTGAATGGTCCCTTGAAATTTTATATCAGATAACAATAATTTTGACATTGATTTCATATATATTTTTCAATTATCATCACTTATTTATTATAGAAAAAAAATTGCATATGTCACTTATATGTATATTGTGAAACGACCAGAATCACCTGCCAGAATTATGTATGTAGTCAGCGATGTCGTGGAGAAAGCTGCAGAACCACTAACCGGTGGTACACTTTCACTTCTCCTACATTCACGTTGTTATCGAGATGGTTCTTCTTTGGTATTTACTATACGATTCATCGTCAGGAAATTCAAGCATAACATTACATTATCAATTAACTATATTCCGATTTAAATCAATTGGTTACCAAACACATTTTAAAAAGTTGAAAATAAGCCAAGGGTAAAAACGTTTCGTAAAACTTACTTTCATTATACTTTCACTATCCCGAGAACTCATCGGATGTTTCCTTCCTCTTCTATCGAATTTAACAGAAAAGTCATTACGTAAGATTTCGATGATAAATGTATGTTCAATTATATTTTATATTCTTTCTGTTTAGAAACAATATTAGACTTTTCATTTTACATTATAGAGGTTCTTTACTAAACAAATGCTCCTTCTGAAGATTTTTTAAGGTTTACCATTAGTAATATTTATATTATTTAAGCAGAATAGAACTTTGAAATATTTTATGATTTGGTATATTTTAAAAAATGTACTCCGTATATCGTTCGATTGTAAGACAATGATTTCAGTATAACGCATATGTCTTTCGTATAAAAATAAAAATGTTTGTATTTTGAAGATCATGCCGATAAAGCTCCACAATACATTGAAATTGCTCGCGATTACACCGCGATGAGTGACAATTATTCGTACATTAATGATAAATAACTTAAAAAGTATTTATTTTTCATTTACCAAGGTACAAATCTCAGAACAATGCGAACGTAATTATCAAAGGTTTTTGATCCGTTTCAGCTTTCTCTGTTTAGCGACTTAACATCTACGTTCTGGGTATCTTATGTACGAAGGTTATCATTAGTGCATTGTCTTGCATTGAGGCCAGATTATGATTGTACCTACAACAGGTTACTCCATGCGACCGTAGTCACGAATCAACATTTATGTCTGTTCCGATAGTGAATAATATCATAACAGATGAAACATTTTCCGTTTCGGACACTATCTGTACAATGATTATCATTTAATTCTTTAATACAATTTCATAAACATAATAAGTTATTACTAGACTGCCGATGTCTATACGTTTATAAGAAAAAGAAAATATATCTAATTAAAATAAACTTTTAAAATCTGAATTGAGTTTAATGCAATTGTTTATCTCGTTTATGCCTTAACACATCTTCCACAGGCAGAACAATTGTCTATTAAATTTCTGTATTTTTTAACGTGAAAATATTAGAAATATTAATCTCCATAAACATCTGTAGTCTAGTTATTAAATAATGGAATGAAGTTGTTGTGTTAGTAGCTATATTATTAAGGTTGATCTTCTTAGTTAAATGAAACTTTTATGTACAAGTTACAAGGATGTAAAATAAATGTTCATATATTTTACGAGAAATTAGTAGAAGACAAGTTCACGCGTATGAATTGCTAGCATTGTGCTGCCGAATAGTAGATACGTTGAAGGTTACGCCATTGAATTTTTTAGCATTATTAACGAATTGACTGCCAATCATTTAAACAAGTCAATGCAAGAAAATGTACTGTTCTTATAACTTAATCGACGTACCACGAGTAAGAAAGCTTTAGGTAGAATCAACTTGGTGTTCGTGTTTTTGCGTGTGCTTTGTCTCCAGTGCATGGGTCGATATTTTTCATTTTCTGTAACATATAAATCATATTAACGAGACTAATAATGTAATAGTAACGATAATAAACATAACAAATACAAATACCAATATAATAACGAATCAATAAGAATATAGTAATATCCTCAAATTTGTACATACTTAGATTTCTTCGACCCCCTATCGTTTCTTTCAGCACTGTCCTCACGAGATCGTTTTTTACTGCTAGATGAAGAATGGCTCGATTTATGTCTGTCGTGTTTATCGCTCTTCTTAGGACTACGGAAAGAAAAAAATTCAATGTAATACCGTAAACAAAATAAACGTTCATATTAATATCACCTGTGTTTGGACGATTTGGAAGGAGACACTTTCTTGTGTGATCCTCCACTCCGTGATCGATCCGATCTTTAATTGTTAAAGTATAGACTTAATATACAGCTTTATAACATGTTTTAGCGTTTTAAATTAAAGCTTTGAATACTTGTGAACTATGCAAATAGTGGAACATCTTACCTGTGCTTGTCCGACGATGAGGATTTTTTATCTTTACTACTGGACGAAGATTTACTTTTGTCTTTACTACCGGAAGAGCTTTTATGTTTCGAATTATGCCTGTGAAACATATAGAATTAAAAAGTGAGTTTTATTTGGAGAAAACTCTAAAAAACATAGAAAATCAAGATGGCCTGTTAATAGAGGACCATCTTAATTACTTATAGAATAAAATCAGTAATTGCCTGTCTTTCGACGGTGAAGGCGAATGTTTTCGGTTCGACTTTTTCTTCTTACTAGAGTGATAATCGTCGTGGAATTGATCGTCCGCTCTTTCTTTATCCTCCTCAGCTGCTTCTCTTTCTAAATCTGACCAATCTTTTCCTGATTCTTCGGAACTGCCTAGTTCTTCTTCTAAAAAAAAACGAAGGAATAGTTGTAAAAGATTCAAAAAGTACAATACTTCTTCTGTATTAGTGTTGTACAAGTAAAATTCATGCAAATTTACACATTTCAAATAAATCAATCACCTTCGCTATCAGAGTCTTCCGATGCTTCAGAATACTCGGAATCGTCGTCGGATTCCTCTTCACTGTCCAAATCAGATGGCTAAGTAAATAAACAAAAAAATATGTAAGAAATATTGTTTTAACAATATTCCTACAATTATGTAAATATATTTCAAACCTCGTAAGCATCATCTTCTTCTTCTTCTTCATCTTCGACCTCATCATTTTCTGCATCACTTTCTGGATCCAAGAAAGTCCAACCGCCATTATCAAAGAAACCAACAGGGTCATCCGTAATTGTTTTCATAATCTTTGTCCAATTTAGAGATTGTACACCCTCCGTGTATCTAATGTCGCAGGAGTTTAACCATTCCTTTACATGATCCAGCATGTTCATAGGAATAGCATTTAGCATTGCAACTTTTCTATGATAGTCTTTGAATACAAAGATCATGTCAAAGTTCTTTAAGTGGAATTGCACTCTTTCAAAATGGACCAATTCAACATCCTCCAATGTGATAACGAACGGAGGCCACTCTGTGAGGTTAACTAAACATCCACTAGTGGGTTGTAAAAGAACAGTACTCCTAAATGGAGCGCCAGGGAATCCCAATTCTCGGAACGGCGTGTCGAATTCAATTTCTTGTTTGGTCATGCTCTCAACCTTTTCACAGAAACTTTTAAACGCAGTCTTCAATTTATGCCTGAGTTCTCGTTCTGATTGTTCAGCAGCAAGATCGTCACGGTCGTGCATATGTTGATGTTTCCCTAAGTCTGTGGTGATTTCACCAACTTCCGTGTAAAACTGTACATCCACGTGCTTCTTTTTCCCAAACATTATGGCATGTTTTAAGTGGAAATGAAGTAATATAATCATTTCTCCATCACATGGTTGGAAGAAGGCATTCTTAATATTATTATAAAGAATGTCAACTTTATCTCCTCTGACAGAAGTGTAACGGAAACCATTGACATGAGCTTCTAAACCTCCTGTCATTCTCTTTGAAACAATGTTTGGTCGAATGTACAAGTCCTTTAATTTAGGATTACCCTTGTTTTGTGACAATATTAAAGTGTCTTGCTTCACTAGATCCTCTTTTTCCCTTTCTTCTGCTTCTCTATTTTTAAATTTCTTTTGGACTTCTTTGATCAGTCTGAACGCTGTATTCAAATTAGACGATGGTGCTGAAATTTCACCGGGCTCTTTGGTGTTTGTACTTCGATATGTTCTAAAGTAAACATAAACAAATATTTTTATAAGTATATTACATTTAAATAAATGAGAAAAATGTCCAAAATATATACTAACACTTCTTTGACAAATGTGGCATCCGGCTGTGGATAAGAACCACCTTCATTACGTCCCATTGTAGCACCAGGATGAAAAAAGTTAATTCTCAAATAAGTATAATCTCCTTCAACGGATTGAGAAATGTTTTTGATTGTAGATATGTGAAATGGTACAGGAATACCAAAAATGGGTAGAATTACTGTCTCGTACTTCTTGTCTGTAAAATAATATTAATCACAAAAATACAGTAAATATGAGAACACATAATAGATATTACCAGTACATCATTATTACATACCAACATATAGTTTCAGCTCCTTCACTTCTGGTTCTCGAGGCATGTGACTCAAGGTTTTGTAAGATACAGTCGATTTTCGTATTTTTTCTTGCTCTTTACCACCAGACTGTTGAGCCAACCGAGCTTTTGCTACTTCATTTAATTGTTGCGCCAGTTCTTTTTGATGTTGTTTTCTTTTCTCTTCTGAACTATGTTCTGTTCTTAACTTGGATTCTATGACTGCTGTCCTTTTACCACGACCAAGAATCTCGGGTTTAGGTTCGTTTTCTTTTCCACTTCCTTCTTCCTCTTCTTCCTCTTCATCCTTTACAAATATACCAATATTTTTCACCTTCTTCTTTGATGGTGTCAAATTTGTAGCTGGTTGACCTTCATTAACCATAACAGTGTCACCAACAAATAAAGCATAAACCTTTCCTTCTTTTTCGTTAGCTTCAGAATTTGCGAGATTTGATAATCCCACATTAACATTAAACACCATGCCCTTCTTTACTACTGCATGAGTTTTCGGACCAATAAGTAAGGAGCTTTCTCTAAATTCAATACCCATGGCAAATCCAAAATTTTTAGTTAAATGATCTAACATGTTTGGTTTCTCATCTTTCACATATTTCACACCTGCTTCGTATACTTCACTTATTTTTACTCCAGACACCAGTTTCTTCAAAATTTCTTCTTCCAATAGTAGAAGGAAATTATAATTATCCTAAAATAAGCAACATGTATGTCGATGTCAGTTATCTACATTTTACAATTATAACACCAAAAAATTTACCTCAATTGTTTTCGTGGGATTCACCAACAATGTTCTGACTATATTAGAACAGTAAGATTTGTATCGTGCTCCAAGTGAACAAACAATGACACCGAAGTGTAAAGTGTTCTTATCACTAACAACGCTAAATTTCAGAGAATAGTTTCCACCACTTTGTATTATTGCTGGATAACACATATCTACTTGGGTAACATCAACGCCAGTTACATACTTCTTATTTGTTATAGCTGCATCTACACCTTCTGCAAGCTTTGAATGCTTAACTTTCTAAAATTGGAAAATTTATTTATTATTATCAAGTTTAATACTTCCTCCTACAATAATTAAAAGTAGTTTTAAAGAAATTCATTCGCATACTTTATCAGAATCTATAATTTCCATAATCTGATCTTTGAGGTATTTTGTAAAAACGTCTACAGACACTAAACATGCTTTCTTTATAGTAAGAATTTCAGCGTCCTCTTTTGGGCACATTACATACGCAGCTGCTGCACTCACATCAACCTAAATGGCATAATTCAATATGATATAAGGAACTTAATTCTTAGCGTACTACTTTATACATGGTTATATCATACCGTATCAAAAGATTCAGACTTCAATGCAGCTCTCCATGCATCCATAAAGGCACCTGGATAATTTTCTTTTGAAAATACACCTAATGTTTTACCCTTCTTGCTTTGTTTTATAACCTCGATAAGTTTGGCAAAATTGGCTTTGTCTTCATCGTTCTTTAAAATAAGAAAATTGTACATACTTAATGCTTAAATACAGTTGGCAAACACATTAGGAAGTATATTATAATATATACACAAGTTACATAAAATACATACCCTGTCCCTCACAAGTAGTTTTACAGGAGGCACCCCAGTCTCATCTGTTTTCTGGTTCTCTAACTTTCTTAGAAACTCAATTTTCTTTTTACTAGCCAAAAAGTTGACAGAATCTTCTGCCAAAATCATTATAGTATCGGTAAGTTCATAACTGAGTAGCCACGTCTGAAATAAATCATATCTGCTTAAGACAATGTAAGCTAAAGATAACATTAAAGCAAACATCAAGTGCACGATTTACATAACAAAACAAAAAATTGCTGATATACCTAATGGATTTTTGTTAGTTACATAATTAAAACCTAATTTACAATGAAGAGCTAAGAGAACTGTTTCAAACTTCTTCCTCGATTAAGTGAAGAAAGTATGCGAAGTACATGTACAAAGTATTAAACTTTAAGAATTTTTCTGCTTAGAATTATAAAAATTAGGTTATACAATAATTCCTAAGTACCAAAAAGCATTGGGACAATGAACAGTAAAGAAATGTTAGAATGTGTTAGAAATTGGGACTTACCTGCAATGCTGTTGATTTACTATAAACGATATCTTCATCTGTGCCCACAGCAGAGACGAGACAATCCATTTTACTAAAACTGTCATCTGTACCAACTTCGCCATCCTATCGAACCGCAAACAAAGGAAATTATTCAAATTATCATGGAACAATGATAGTTGAAAATAATGTATTATATTGCGAGTAAGTTCTTTACCTTCCATGCGGCGTAAAGACGCTTCATACGCCGGAAAAATGTGTCTTTGTCAACAGATACGTTTGCCATCGTTTCTTGTTTTCAACACGTTCGGTACTTACAGCACAACACGCTTCCACAAAATCACTTCGACATAAAACTATAATAAATTGTCCCAGCGTAAACGATAACGAACTAAACATTCAGACGACGCAAAATCCTTGAATATTATCACATTTTCCTTAGTGTTCCATACAAAATACGTAATACTATCAAAATTCGCTATTCGATGCGGAGATGGCGGGATTTATAACCAAACCGCAACCGTACTCCACAAACTACAGACCACGCGGCGGGAACGATTTGATACAGAGCGTAGTTATTCCGGAATCAAAATGAACCGCCAACGCTCCGAGCAGTCTGTCGTTGAACTAAAATTTTACTTAAAGACCGTGTATTTGTCGCAAGCCTTTTTATTCGTTTGTTGTACGTTCTCCTTAATATTCTTCATAAATAATATGCCTGATCAACTTGGAATTAACCCTTTAGATTCTAAGTTATATCGTTCTTATTTGTTATTGTCATTCCTATTCCGTCTCAAGACTATTCAAATACCGTGTATTCTAAATATAATTTTTAAACATTATTCAAGTATTATTTCTATAGTGATATTTTAAATTACATTAAATTAAATTAAATTAAATTAAATTAAATCAAATTAAATTGGAAAGGAATGTAAGCATATTTGATATGTGGTAGTATTTTAATGAAAGTAATACTTCTGAATACATACCCGCAAGACATAAAGGATTAATATTAACCCTTTTACTACCAACGACCCGCCTTTGATGTTTACTAAACACTGTTTAGACAAAAACTGTTATGAGCTGATATGTCGGCCGTTTATTTACGTTTAAAGCGTACATATCAAATCAGCCCTGGCAGTTTTCGCATATAATACTTATGCCGGGTTGGCAGTGAAAGAGTCAAAATGAAATATAACAAAATTATTTGATTTTTACACAAATGTTGTATAGCTTCAGATATGCGCTGGTAGAATGAGGTTCTTAAAATTTTTGATTGTAACCGTTTTTATTTTATAATTTATTTAAAATTAGAAATCATTAGAAAAGATAAGAATGTATACATTTACTCTTGATTGTATCATTTGAAAGCATAAATGTTTAGCTACGTTTTGTTTATTATAAGTAAATGTTTTATTTGCAAGAATGTAAGAGAAATTAGAATGGGAATTTGTTTAGGCTTATTGTAAACATGATTTCCAACAAGAAGTGGACCAATGAAAGGTTTATTACTTGTCTGAGTGTGCTTCAGTGTTATTTAATTTCGTACTAATTTTAAATTGAACATATGATGGATGAACATACGATGGATAAAATCCATCTTAAATTTGATTAATTTAATTTGTAAGGATCTTAAGGTTATTATATTATCATTCTGCGCATGTAAACATATACTTCAAATGAAATGCATTGTTATTGTTTTAATTTACCGAATCCCATTATCGATACTTCAGTATTTATTAATTAATATATTACCTTAATATAATAAGTTTCACATACGGAATACAAATGTTGAATAATTAATATTTCGACATCGTTGTCAAGCATCGACAATAGAATCTCAAAGCTGCTTATTCTATGGCTAACATTAAACACGCACGCGAACGTGTAATCCGATGCATACATATACGTATGCATAGGAGTCTCTATCGGGGCGTCAATTTTATTACAAATAAGACTCTGATCTTCACAATATATCATCATAAAAAAAAAATAATTATTACGGAACTGTGATACGATTACCGGTCCACTTATGCATACTCTCGCGACGATCATCGCGAATGTGTAAGAGACGTCCGGCTGTAATTCATATCGTCGCTAGCTTGTGCCGATTTATTAGAGTGTTACCTTATATGTTGCTACGGAGCGAGTGAAAGAAACGCAGTTCTATGCGATTAAACGTGTTTCATTGGAAACTACGGCGAAGAGGTCGAGCGATCGACACCGAATAATCTCAATGCATCCTGTTTTAAGGAGAAAGACAATGTTTCGTTCGTTGAAGCGTTAACATGCCGATGTAGAAAATAATGAAAAGGGCTTTAAAGAGAAAAAAATTTTCGTCGATACCCTGATACGTTCGAGGGGACAACACGTTTCCCGATGCTTCGATAAATTCGGTTCGTGACAGTGCTAACGAATGTTAGCTGTTGCTCTGTCAATTGTGTAAGGACACCTGTGAAAACGGCACTGGATGTACTGCAACGGATCATGAATGTAAGTGCATATTTCACAGTACAGGTTTAATGTAATCGCGAGACGATTGCTCCGATGCATTCGAATGATTAATTTAGCTAGACATACTTTGAATATGCACACACTGATTAACACCGAAAATACTCACGTCCGAAATTCTGATGTCCTTTAGAAAAAATGTTCTAATTTAAATTTTTTTCTCTTTCGAATATCGAATTGATTCAATAATTTTTATTTCTCGCATAACGAGGAAAGTAAGAAAAACTGCATTGGCAAATGCATTTTTGCTGTAATGACTTTACATTCAATTTTTGCGGTCGAACCTGTTTAATAATATTTTAACGCGTTCACAGTATGACTGGATAATAAATTAAATGAATGTATTTTTTTTAGATTAATTCGCTTCATTGGTTTATAAAGAATAATGATTTAAGGTTCTGCTTCACTGAAATTAGTTGAAGACGCTTAAGCACATTGGCATTTAATACGTTCCTTTTGCTTCTTCTATGTAAACTATTTTCAGAATATCCCGTTCTACATTATTCTGGCACGCAGTAGACATGAACTTGCTTATGTAACTGACATTAGATTACTGACCCAATGAATTTGTTTTCAATGACATCAATTGAATGTAATTACATTTTTAACAGTGATATACAATTAATCAGCCTGTGTGCTTCCACTAAATGCATTCATTCATTTTGATCGCTTCTCAAAATTGACAGCATGGGTTTTAACATAACCTTATAACTAACATAAGCACTAGCATCTTTCAAATTATATTCTTGATGAAAATAAATTTAACTTTACATAAAGAGTGATTGAAGTTTATATATAAATTTAATTATGTACATTATTGTTTTTCAAATAAAATTCATACAGAACGTTAAACTGTAAAATAAAATGTGTTTGTTTATTAATATAATTGTCAATATAAAATTTTTATTTCTATTATTTAACATTTTCTAAATATCACTTCATAATATTTTATATCAAATTATTTATTTAGGTGGTCAGCATAGCAGAGAGGTGGTGTCGGGAAGGTGGTTGACACGCCTTCATATCTTTGAGATGATTGAAAGCGTATCACGCAGAGCGTTGAGTGGCTCCAGTGGGAGCTACCACGTTCGTGGTGCTGAATTAGCAAGGAATCGTAGATTGAAATCATTGTCTGCCACTGTTGTTTTTCTTGATGACACTCAACACACGTTTCAGCTAGATGTAAGTTCGTAATGTAATTATTAGAAGGAGAATAGAATATTGTCTTACGTTATTTTTATAAATATTTTAGAAAAGAGCAAAAGGTCAAGCATTATTAGATTTAGTATTTCAACATTTAGAACTGGTTGAAAAAGATTATTTTGGTTTGCAATATGCAGAAAATGGAGCCACAGCCTGTACATATTCACCGGATATAATGGTAAAACTTTTCTTAGAAGTCGAACATTTCTTTTAAAAAATCACTTAGTAAATTTACATTGATGTTTCAGAGATGGTTGGACCCTACTAAACCAGTGAAAAAGCAGATAAGAAGTAAGGGTAAAGATCATATTTAAATACATGTTTATATTAATATAAGAAAGTAATCTTACTAGAAAGTTTAATTGAACTTAATCATTTCAGGTGGACAGTTTTACTTCAGGGTGAAGTTTTATGTATCGGATCCTAGTAAGTTACAGGAAGAATACACTAGGTATCAATTTTATTTACAAATACGAAGGGATATACTTCAAGGAAAACTTCAGTTACCTCCAAGTACAGCATGTCTTATTGCCAGCTACACTGTCCAATGTAAGAATATTGATGCATTGAAAATTATTTAATTTCACAATGAATCTATAATATCAAGATTCTTTTGGTATAATTTCAGCTGAGTTAGGTGACTATCATCCTGAAGAACATGGTCCAGGATATCTTTCTAGGTTGCAGCTTATACCAGGTCAAACTGAGGAAATGGAAAAAAAAATAGCTGAATTACACAAGCTTCATAAGTATGTTAAAAACGTATATACAATACTCAAGATCACATTTCGTCAGAAATATTATAAAATGTTTATACTTTTTTTAGAGGTCAACTACCAGCTGATGCAGAATTCAATTTTTTAGATCATGCAAAAAGATTAGACATGTACGGAGTAGAATTACATAAAGCAAGGGTATGTAACTATATTATATATGTAATTTCTTATTAGTATTAAATGTTATTTCATTTAAATTTTATTTATTTCTTTCCTAGGATTCAACAAACAAAGAAATTCAATTAGGTGTTACATCTATAGGTTTAGTAGTATTTCAAAATGGAATAAAAATTAATGTGTTTTCATGGTCAAAAATAGTTAAAATTTCGTTCAAACGGAAACAGTTTTTCATTCAACTTAGACGAGAACAGGTATTTAAAGCATTTGGTGGTTAAAATTAAAAAAAAAATTTCATACAGTTTGATTATAAATTATGAAAAATTATGTTACAGTCAGAAAACTACGATACATTATTAGGATTCAACATGCAAACATATCGTAGTTCTAAAAATTTATGGAAAGCATGTGTGGAACATCATACCTTCTTTAGGTTACATAGTCCTAAAATGAGGCCTAGACGTTTTCCCCTTACTTTAAGTAGTAGATTCACTTATTCAGGGCGTACAGAATTTCAAACTGTTGAAGATGGTAAACACAGAGCTAGAGTGGAAAGAACATTTATACGGTAACATTAACATTTCTTCCTTCTATTTTATTATGTATTTTATTTTAAGTAAGTATAATATGCTACATTAAATAATATAGATCTCCAAGTAAAAGATTGGTGCATGGAGTTACATCAGCTCCACTTATAGACGATAAAGGAAAATTATCTGTACCTCCGGGAAGACCACCTAGGCCATACGATAACAAAGTTCAGTCTCTTGGTGCTCGTGAACCTCGTCAAGCATGGGGTGAAGGCAATCCTAGCGACGAGTTAGTTGAAAAACAATTTAATGATTTTTAAATTTCAATCTCTTGAATGTAATTTGTAATTTATTTCTTTTCTATTCATAGCGAGGGTGGTTTTTTATCTCTTCGAGATGAAATATCGGGATCTCATACACAAGGCAACGCATTTTCACCTGTATTAGGTTCGAGGGTTTTAAGTTACGCAGACGATGATACAACTGTTGAAAGAAATATTTATGATTTGCCAGATTATAGTGAACCTACAAGTTCACCTGCCCCACAGGTATTTATGTTCAGTATTCTCATCAACTTTGTTAGAGGACAATGAAATAGGAGAAAAATGTGAAGTGAGAACCTAATGTTTTACGTAGATAATTTTGTATCTTTAAACGAATAAAACTGTTAGATATAGTAAATTATAAATAGAAAATATAATGGGCTATGATTGTACAGATAGTAGAAGATGGATTGGTATCAATAACTTTGACACCAGACGAGCAAGGTCGGTTTGGTTTCAACGTGAAAGGTGGTTTGGATCTTGACATGCCTATTTTAGTCTCGAGAGTAGCTCCGAATACACCCGCTGACCGTTGTTATCCGAAGTTAAATGAAGGAGATCAGGTTTCTAATTTACAATTACATAGTTATATCATCGCCCATATCATAAAGTAATCGTGAATATATTGATCAAATAGGTAGTCTACATTAATGGAATTGACGTGAGTGGATTACTGCATGAGCACGTAGTACATTTGATTCGTAAATCTCGTGATTCGGGTTCTGGTGAGCTGACACTAACTGTTAGGCCAAACGCTTTATACAATGCTCTAGCTGGTACCGATGAAACGTCCGAAGAAGAACCTCCATATAGGTATTGTGTTTACTTGCAAACATTATTAATTTTCTATATTTTAAGCATAGGTAACACAGTATTTCTATACCTCTGTTTTGTTCACGCGAGAAATTAAAAAAACTTTTAACATCACTCAATATTTTCATTTAAAGATATACATCTTATGATAATTTTTTTGCAATACAACCACCATATTATATATGAATTATCTATATCCTTATTTCTAACAGTTTCTAACAGATTTGAACAGTTACTTTTTTTTAATTTTAAGATATGTACCGGATGCACCTCATGCGTCTATTGGATCAGACGCGTTGGCACAGTCAATGTTACTTCTTGCCGATGGTCTTGCAAGTGGTGCTTTAATCGCTCAATACGAGCAATTGTATCGAAAGAATCCTGAACTTACTTCTCTGGAATCTAAGAAACCTGAAAATCAAAGCAAAAATCGTTATCGAGATATCTCACCATGTAAGTAGAAAAAAGAAGCATTGAAAAGAATATTGTAATATTTTAAAAGAAATTTTCAATATTTTAAAAGGTTAGCTTTAGAAATTAATATATGGTATATTGTTTAGACGATGTTACTCGAGTAATTCTCATGGGTTCTTCGAATGGTGACTACATCAACGCCAATTATGTGAACATGGAAATCCCTGGATCGGGTATTATTAACAGATACATCGCCACGCAAGGACCGCTTTCAACTACCGTCGCTGACTTTTGGCAGATGGTATTAGAGGCAGGCAGTACTCTTGTTGTTATGTTAACAACTCTAGTTGAACGTGGTCGAGCAAAATGCCATCAATATTGGCCCGCTCTTAACGAAACTCTTACGTTACGGAATCTTACACTTACTTCGACAGTTGAAAATGTTGAAGACACTTTTATATTTAGGGAATTCATACTTCGCGATATAAACGTAAGGATAGTTAGGTCACTAATGAATTGTAGGATAAGTCGGGGAGAGATGGTCCACTTTTTTATAAAGAATTAATACAAAATAAATACTATTAATACCTAACGAAAAATAAAATATATTTATAAAAATAAATACACCTATATAAGAAGAATAGTTAAATAGGTCTCTGTACGAAATTCGATATGCCATGTAAAAAAATTGAAAATATTTGACAATTTTAATGAGATCGGACCATCTCAACCGCAGAGCCATCTCACCCGGAATTACCCTAATAGTTTTGAATGTAAATTCGACGTTCAAGTATTATTTGACCATTCTATATTTCAGACTGGAGAAGAAAGAGATATCACACACATGCAATATTGTAGTTGGCCTGATCACGGAGTACCCAGTGATTGGAGACAGTTCACAACATTTACTGAAAGAGTAAGGGCAGCTCGAACAGGGATAGTAGAACCTGCTGTCGTCCATTGTTCTGCTGGGATTGGTAGAACAGGTGTTTTAGTATTAATGGAGACTGCACTGTGTCTTATCGAAGCAAATCAACCAGTGTATCCATTAGATATTGTACGCTCGATGAGAGATCAAAGGGCAATGATGATACAAAATGCTGTAAGTTGAAATTCCCCAAAGTACATTAAAAATAAAGGTGGTATTTTTTATACTTAATGATATGAGTATTTGTTCTTTTTATTGTAGAGTCAGTATAGATTCGTTTGTGAAGCAGTCCATAAAGCTTACAGCGAAGGAATAGCTAAACCACTTCCTGAATTCAGCAGGTGAAAAGAAAAGAAGCAGGAACACACTGTAATTACCATGTTTCTTACATTTTACTAAGAAAAGCATCACATCACTAGAGGATAATTTTGTACTCAGACAATAATATGCACATATATTATTGATTCGTAGGAAAGATATATTACTATTTATAGTAGGTAGTTTTTATTCTTTCAAAAACCTGTTTTTCATGTAGAGCTTCAGTTGGTAGAAGGAGAAAAAAATGTAATTGATGCCTTTAGTTTGACGAAAAATCTTGAAATCTATAAAAATTTTAATTTAGGTGAGCGTTTGTAAATAATGCACCCTTGACGAAGTAAGTTTATTAATTTATATTTAAGCTGAACGCGTATTATTTAAAACGATTTTCTATTTTAGTTTAATTATTAATATTATATTTTTGATTTCCGTGTATGGAATAGGATGCAGAAGTACGAAAACTTGAATTCCATGATATGTTGCTAATATTCTGTTCAGATTCTGTTAGTTTGTTCAATTCCATAGGGTTCTATTTTTAAATTGTTATTTATCGGGAACTAATAATAGTGCAAATATGACCACTTTCATGAAATCAAGCATAACGCCTTAAGATCTATAAATGTTGATTGAAATGTTGAGAAGAAATTATTAGAATTACTGGAGGTGTCAATATAGAAGTATTGCCTTGAAGAAAACTGCAAAATAAGACGTTACAAAGTGATTAAGCGCAGAATTAAAAAAAATGGTAAAGTCTATAGTTAATCTATTTCAATAAGCTACAGAATGTAATTTTATAAAATGAAATAGTAAGATATGATTTTTGAATCTTTAAATGTATCCATACATTTCAAAATAAGCGCATTAGTCATAAATACCGCTTGGCCATAAAATAATTGAAAGTAATTCATCTTCGATCGAGTACCAATATTTCATTATGTCGAATAGCCAAGAGTAGTACGTACTTGTGTAATAGGAAAAAGAAAATTTTTAACTCGTAGCGATCCGTTTCTACTATTAACTTACAGCTAAGTATGATATTCTACTTATAACGAACGTAACAACTTCTAATATCGTATACACAGTGTACAGTTTAGGTTTATTAAACAAAAAAAAAGAACGGACTAATACAAATAGCGGACGCTAGCGAAGTATTAAAGTTTACGCTCGTGTCGTGAGTAAAGTGCAAGTTAAACCTAAAGAAAACTGTTTCAGATGAAAATGGTTCGGTATTCAAATTTTGAACGAAGTTCAAATTATTTTGCGAATAAGATTGGTAGAAATTGAAATGATGCAAAATGAGACATTTCAAGTGTCGTCATTTTGATCGCTTCAATATAAATGAACATAGAATGAAATCAAAAACGGTGACGCAAAATGTGCTACACAGTAATTAATCTTGAGAAGATGCCTCTTTAAAAATCATTGACGTCCTTTAAATGTTCTAGTAATGTTAACAAAGCGTACTATTTTTTTATAAGTATACAATGTGTTCTACTTTCCGCCCATTTTTCGCAATGTCAAAATATCTTTATGTCATGCATACATAATCTTCACGAAAATTAAGTAGTTACGTAATTGATTTTTGGTAATTCACATTTACCGTAAAATTATCGTTCACGCACAACATGATCGATTCAGAGATTTCAGATTAAATCTGGAGACCTTTTCATTAATTAAGAAAAGGTGTTCATTCATATTGTACGTATGGTCCATATGTTTTTTTTTACAATTACACAATCACAACATGCACAAAAAAGTAGAACAATGAAAATGAAATAAATCAATTTGTATTTACTTCTTTATGTCTGTCAGGAAAGATTTATACAGACTGAATATGATTTACTTTAACAAAAAATGCAACTCATAAATTATTTGCGTGTAGAATGTGTAATATTACAAACACGATGCCATTTGTAAATATATACATGTATATGGTAATCCTTTGCGGTTCTTTAAAGTATTAATTACGTGTAAGTGTCCATTTTCATTGTTGTAACATTACTTTTACAATATTGATGAACTCATAATGATTAGAATTGGTTAGCAAATACAACATACTCTTTTAATAATATTTTTTTTTATTTAAAGAAACATGAAACAGCAAGGTTGAACATACAGAAATATTGATTCAAAATATTTTGTTATAAATAAGACTGGACCGCAAAGGGTCGTCACTTTGTTGGTAAACATTTTCAATAATAAATAATTAAGGATTGGGTGAATCTGTTAGGCATATCATAACAGTAAGCAGTAAAGTGTAATGCCATTTTGATATTTTCTGTATTATGAATAATGATATTTATCTAAATTATTGACAATAGTGCCTTCTACGTGCATCCAGATCACAATTACAAGGCGAAAATTTATAGTCGTAACGACTGTTAGATTTTAACAGTTTCACTCGATGCAATTTTCTTTACTATCTCATACTAAATTAATATTGAGTTTCTGTATATTTTTTTGTATAATTGTTCATAATTTTTTTTCATAATTTATCTTCCAGTAATTATGTAAATATATTTACGTTTCATGTAATTCCTATTTCATAAACATGATTTCATACAGATCATATAATTATTTATTTATAATTATTATTGTATTAACCAAACAATAACATTATAATTAGCAGTAATTATAAGTGTAATTAATAGCTTACATTTCAAGCTATTTCTGGCAACTCTTGAACAAGTAAATTTATAGTTACGAATGATCGAAAGATCATAAAAATACAAATATTTTATCTGAAAATCAGAATATGAATTAAACTATATAAGTAGGCACCTTGAATCTTATGTTCTAACATATGTATAATATAAAACAAAAGGCTCAGTTTAAATAAATATGAAAATGTATAACATAATGACATAATCGAAAGAAACAATTCTGTATAATAAGAAATAATATTTTAGAACATAGTTTCTGTGACAGGTGCAAAATACAGTGAAGTACACGAAACATATGAATAAAATGCGAGAAGCATTGATTTACAATTCTTATAGAAAGCATTAATGATACGTCTATGGAAATAGATTTATAGCGTCACAGTGCATTTTTGAACTTGTATGCCGAGTAGTATTCATTTGACATAATTCATTAAAAATGAAACATTCAAATTCATTCTCATTCTTTATGTGTATATAAAAACAGTACAAAGAATATTAAATAGTTTATTGAAATATCGAAAAGTTATATTCAATAATATTCATCTGCATATGTGCCAAACGATAGCACATAAATTGAATGCTAATTATAAATAAAGTGCCACAAAAGTTTTCATAATACAGTCAGTAGTTGTCTAGTCTCATTATTAATTTGTACTTCTAAAATATAAAATAAAAAACGTTTTATAGTATTCTGCCATTTAATCATTTCACCATTTATGACATTAATTTTTATACTTTGGTACATTCAAGATTGTGTAACAGTAAATATAAATATTTAACAACAAATTTTTTGTTATTATATATAGTAATTGGTGCTATACATCGTGCTCTCCACAATTCTGTAACGTATTTTAAATATTCTTTAATACAAAAGCAGTAATTTGTGCTAGAACTCATTTTCAATTATTGAAGCCGCTGAAGTTGCAGTTTGCAAGATGATTTACAAATCAAGAAAAACGGTCCCTCCTGACCAGGATTATACGTTGATGGAACAATATTATAAGTTCCAGCTGGCACACTGTCCAATTCAAGATAGATAAACCCTGACCTATATTAAAACCAATCATTAATATACTTAATATAAATAGCACTTATATTCTAATTTATAGATTACCTAAATGGACCAGAGTTCTTCACTTTGAATGCACCAGGTGCATCAGAATCATTCAACACCACTGATGTAACATAAAATCCTATTTGATATTCTTTTGGACCCTTTAGTATAATCAATAGGTAGTTATCATTATTTGAGCTTTCTAATATTAATTGGTAACGTGGATTATTTTGATACGTCGGATGATTGCTACATCCACCAGCTGTAATGCCTTTCCATTGACCATCGGTAATCTGAGAAAAGAATTATTAATGTAAAAAAAGAAAGTCGTAAATTATATTTATATTTGCGTTAAAAAAAACCGTACCTCTTTTTCATATTTATAAAAATTCGATATCTTACGTAACGTGAATGGGCATGTTCCATATGCACGTAAAGTATAATATATTGTATTTGTTTTTTCATATTGCGAAATAACTAGGGTATAACGAGTATCGCTTTGTGCATCCAATTTTATTTTGCAAAGATAGTGTGGACTATTTATTTTTACACCATTAATGTACGGCGGTGGATCATCTATAGAACAAAATGTTTATAATTAATAGTAATCAAATAAATTAGAGATATAGTATGGGACAAACCTAACACTCTATGTACAGTTAGATTATTTAATGAACTTGAAATGATAAAATTAAAAATACTATCAGTGAGAAAAGATCAAATCGAACATAATAAAAAATACATATTAACGTTATCGAACGTTTAAAATGTTTTTTTGTTATTTCACGCATAATTCTTAAAGTATTTTTAAACCGAGTATATTTATCGATATTAATACTCCAAAATACAGGGCACAAATTTTCATGAAATGTTATATTTATTTTAAATCTTACACGTGAATAAATTTTTATACTTACGAGGATAATACACTCTTTTCCCATCATTTTTATAGACTAATACCGTTATATATTCTTGATTTTCCCGAAAATCTGCAATATCTGTAATATGTCTCGTCAAAAGGATCCATATAGCACTTGTAACATTGCTTTGCGCTTCCAGTAAAAACTGAGGATTATCGCCTATATTATACACATCTTTCACTGGACCTATACCCGCATTCCACATTCTATTAAAAATGAGTTTTCATGAATACATTGCATATTCATTAGATTCTTTAATTCATAAAACGTGCAGTGTTTATAACTTACTGGTGGATGCAGTAAGTATAATGAAATAGACCTGGGTTCCAGTTCAAATAAAATACATCGAAAAAGTGACATATACTATCATAATCAATCCAGAATATACCATTGTCAAATTGAGAGGCAGAATCTGGATCATAATTTAGTGTTTCTTTTAATTCATTAGTCCAATGTATAGTATCAAGTTCAGAATAATTTCCTTTCCATCTTAAATGCGACCATGGGTTTTTAAGTAGTAATAATCTTTCATCCTGTAAAGTAAGCAAAAATTTAAAAAAATATTAATTTTTAATTTGTTTAGATGTATTTACGGATTTGTTATTAATAAGCAATCACTTACGTTTACTTTTCTGACATCAAGAACTGCGTACGCGTGAGATGGAACAAGACCAGTTCTTTCAGCATCCAAGTCAGACAATTTTCCAGTTGCTACAGTTACTAATACATCTCCTTTGTGCAATCGTGTTAATAAAATATTAAACAAGTTGTCTTTATTAAAGTCTGGTTCATCTGGTCTTATGGCCCATTTCTCTGGTATCCAGCTAGTCAAAGCATGTAAATCTATATTCTAAAAGAAGATATTTAATCGATGAACTAATTTCACATAGTGAAATAACATAATATGTGTTCTCTGGATATATGTAACATGAAAACTGGCTTACACTGTTTGAACCAGGAAAATCATAACCACCCATTACTTTCATATATGCTTTTTCAAGTAATGAGATCCACAGCTCCCCACGATTGCTAGAGTAGGAACAAAGTAATTGGTTGTATCGACTTACAGGCAATAAGTCATCTATTATAACTTTGCGTGGAACACCATTAATGTGTAGTTTCACCATGTATTTTCCTAACATAAAATACTCGCTATTTAATTTTTATTGAAATAAATCTCTAATAAAATGACAAGTGTCTGAAAATGCATATGAACAAAAAAGTATTTAAACAGTTTACGAGTTACAAAACTGCTTACCGAATGGATTATAAATTGGTTCTTTATTTCTATTTTGTGGATAAATAATAGATGTAATTAGTCTGCGTCCGAATTTTCTTTCATACTGAGCGCTAACAGCAAGTGACGCAACGAAAGAACAATCAGAAACAACCTGAAATTGAACATAAAAGTGACATTCGAAATGGTAATGAAATATTAACCAGTAAATGATCAATACGTTTTACGAACAGTTTGTTTAATGCTGTAAAAATCAACATGATGAGTCATGAGCATGGTTGGTTCTGGAAACAATTCTTCTGGACGAGCCCATCTAACAAAATCAGGCTTTTGCTTTGGAGCCAATTCTAATAAACCATCTTTGTCAGTAAACGGAATAGCAAATTGAAAATTTTCTCGGAGATCAATACTCATGAAAGGAAGGAACTTATGTTCGTTAATATGAGAGCTATGATGTAAAACTCGTTTCTCCTCATCGGAATAACCGCTACTACCGCCGCTTACTTTCAAATGAACACTACCACCACGAAGTAGAGGTGACTGAGTTTGTTTTTCTAAATAATTAAAAGAATTCTAAATAAATGAAAATGATTTTAATTGAAATCATTTCAATGTTAAAAACGAAGACATTTATTACCTGTGTTACTGAAATTTGTAGAAGTTGTTGCTACATCTACATCTGCTTCTACATCTCCATCTACATCTAAATTTGTTTCTGGCACAGGAGGCAATTGAGAAAGCGTCTTCAAAATATCATTATTGTTTAATTTTAAGCCTTTCAGAGATTCTGCTCTGTCTAAGGCCAATCGGACAAGGGCTGTTAATTTTCCTTTTACATCTGAGTCTGTGGTTTTCTATAAATAAAATTAAAGCTTAGTTTCAATATACTACAGAGGATGATTATTACGTACAACTTTAAGTCCAAGTTCAGCAGCATCTGTATATAACTTCACAGCTATATCTTTCAAACCTGTTTCATCCGCATCTTGTGCTTGATTTACTAAAAACATGCATCTTTGTAATTCTGACTGATGTACAGGTTGTGCACTGTGATGTTTTTGATCTTCTTCATTGACTATAATTTATTAATGATTTTCCATTTGCTTATTATTTTATATTATATTTTATATTATAACAATATTATTCTATATAAATTTAATACCAAATAATATACTTACTCAGAGACTGTATTGTCGTTATTCTATCTTGATATTCTGTGATTTTCTGATCATATAAAGAGTCTTGTAACTTAGTTAGACATTTAACAGCAATATTATAATAATATAAAGCTTGCTTGTATTGACTGTTACTATCAAATTGTACAGCTTTCCGGGCTGCATTCTGTGCATCTTTTAAAGTCATTGTGTAAATTCTTATTATTAAATTAACAAGTATGACTACATAAGCATTACAGTTTTATATTAATATTTATCTATTATATCTTTTAACCTCTTTCAATCTCACTTACATTTAACCTAAAACTTGATTGTTACACTCAATCAAAATCGTATTTTGTGTATGTTACATTCTTTTCGTACAAATTCGCATTTCATTAGAAATGAGAGAATTGCTACACGTTGTCTACTGTACTCACATCTTTTCAACAGTTTATACAAATTAATGACAGCTCTTATCTTTTCATAACAAACTGTATAGGTTAGGTTTAACGTAGTAACATTTGATGTATCTAATATGATCTGATGTAAGTAATTATAAATTTTTTAACTTTTGATTACAATTTCTGATTAAATTAATTATAATCAAACCCCGAATTTATAATATTTTTCAACATAACAAACAGTCGTAGTAACATTCTGATTCAGAAAATCTGAATCTCTTTGTCAAGTAAACTGTCTGTGGGACATTATGTAGGAAGATCGGAAAAGTTATTTTATATATTAAAGAATTCGATTAGTGTATTTCCAGAATTTCAATCGTTCTAAGCGAAAAGTTGTTTTGTTTAAATAGAACAACAGAAAACTTGTTAATCTACCGATAAATAATGTTATTATAAGATGTATACGCGTTTCTTTTATAACCTTAAATGTTCTGTTTTTGTCAGTTTCATAAATTGGTGATAAATTATTTATCTTTCTATTGTTCATTTTTATTTACTATTAGTTAAACGTTCTGTGCTGAAAATGAGTGATTCTGAGGATGAGAATTATGTGACTTTTGGGGTCCCCCTCGATCCTATAGACGAAGGTATGTTAAAGTGATCCAAAATATGAAACACATGTCAAAATATTATTAAGTAACTGTCTGTGTTTATTTGAAATATTTATAGAGAATTTACCAAGAAAAAAACCTGTAACAATTGAGGAACAATATGCATATGACGCACAAGGTAGACGACGATTTCATGGAGCATTTACAGGTGGCTTCTCTGCTGGATATTTCAATACTGTTGGTACCAGGGATGGATGGAGACCCCAACAGTTTAAATCTTCTAGGGGTAGCAAAGCAGAAAGCGTTACTCAACGACCAGAAGACTTTATGGATGAGGAGGATACAGGCCAATTTGGAATTGCTCCAAAAGGAATTCGTGCTACAAGTGATTATGTTGATCATGGTCAAAGAGGAGTAAAACGAGAGAGAATTAATCGTGATAGTAATGGTCCTATTCCTGGTACACCGGTATTAAAAGAGCTTCTAAAACCTGTGAAGTAAATAATTATTTAATGTCAAATAAAATAAATATAAAAATGTATGTCATTTAATACTTAATATACTATTTAGAGACACAGTTGGTATTATGTTATTGAAACAAATGGGATGGAGGCCTGGCCAGGGTGTAGGATCTAGACTTACAAAGAAGGAGAAGGCTAAAATTAAAAGAAGAAATGAAAAAATAAGGATGTCAAAAGAAAAGATTGGTAAAATAAGTTCAGGAACTAGTTCAGATGAATCAGAAGATGATTACGGAGATGTTACATTTGCTCCTGACGATTATGAACCATTTAGGTAATTTAAAGATCTATATAAAATTATTGTGACAAGTAATAAAAATACTTTAGTCACAGTGTAATAATTATACATATTCTTTTTACAGATGCAACCCAAAAGACAACTATTTTGGTATAGGATACAGTGGATTAGACAGGAGAACTATACTCTCTGGTCATATAAATTTATTTGATACTCCTGCATTTAGCGTTCAAGAGAAAAATAAAAAGTTATCGATACATGGTCAAGCATTTGGCGTTGGCGCATTTGAAGCTGACGATGAAGATATTTATGAGAGGGAAGATATGTCACGTTATGACTTTGCATTAGGTCCAGAACGTAAAACTAAGTCCAGGTGGTCAGATGATAATACTTCGAAAAACTCCAGTAATTGTTTAGAAGGTTTTGTACCAGCAAGGAACAAATTAGAGCAGAAGAAAGTCTACACCCCTCCAGAATTGCCTAAAGATTATGTGCCAGTACATGTGGTCAGAAAAAGTCGATTCTATCCACCAATTGAAAACGTTCCTCGTACAGTAGAAAATGGAAAACGTAAGGATCTTACAGCTGCTGATAGAGCTAGGATATTAGAAGATACACATACTATTAAAAAAGTATCAGATACACATGAGAATGCAGTACCGTCAGTTGCTTCGAATATCATCTCCAAAACATTAAACTTGCATGGAAGACAGCAAACAGAAGAGAGACAAAAATTAGAAAATCAAGCTAAGGCAGCCACTTCATGGTTGGACAAACTCAATGTTCAGAGTTTTGTTAAAGGTGGTACTGTTAGTTCTACTAAAGAATCTGAAGGAAGTTTGAAAAAATTGGGAGAATTTAAAGATTCTTCTATGTCTGATGACGGTCAAAGTACAAATAATTTGGAGGAAGACAGTTCTTTGAACAAAAGTACAGCAAAACCATATTTTGCCGATCCTGATAAGCAGAGACGCTTCGAGCAGTATTTAGATCTTTCAAAGAAGGGTGACAAAAGTAAGCTGGAAAGTATACAACCCTTGTCAATGACCGAGTGGGACAGAGAACATGAACGAACTGAGTTTGAGCAAGCAGTTAGATTATTTGAGCAGCCGACCAATAATTATGTTTCGAATAAGTTTACACCTGCTGGTGAGGCTATAAGTTCAGATGTCATTTCTGGAAAATATAGCCAAGAAGATGAAATGAAGCAAGCTGCGAAAATGAAATTATTCGGAAAATTAACTAGGAAACGCATAGAATGGAAACCTGCAAGTATAGTTTGCAAGAGATTCAATATCCCGGAACCAAAAAGTGGTTGTGCTCAACCTGAACTAAAGAACAAAACAGCAAAGTTTTCGATCTTTGATTCGCTTGATTGGAGTAATAATTCTACGAAATTCTTGAAAGCAACTGATACTGTATCAAAGAATATAGAAAAAACTGATACTCAATTAAAAGATAGAAATGTTGTTATCGCTAGTAGTGCAACTTCAGAAGTAAAATTACATAATGACCTTCCTTCTAATAACCATCAAGAGTTAGAACCTGTGTCAGAAAAAGTAAGAAATTTTGAGGCAACTTATGAAAAAGTCTTTGGTAAAGAAGTTCAGAAAACATCCTCTTCAGTTTCTGAAATCAAACAAAATTTTGACAGTAAAGTAGATTCTAGTACAGTAGTTAAGGGCCTGGATAACGTTGAAAAGGGCCAAGATGATAATAATGCATCAAAACAAGTACCAAAGAATGAATCAGAAGAAAAGAAAGATCTTTTCAAAGCAATTTTCTTAAGTAGCAGCGAAGAATCAGATTCAGAGTTGGAAGAAAGCATGGACAGTGAGGCTGTGAAGTCTGTTTTGATTGGGAAACCTGCGAACGAAGTAAATTTGAAAAGAAATACTTCTCCGCCGAGAGGAATTTTTGCTAAGGTAGATTTGGATAACCTCCTTTCAAGTTCAAAGAACAATATACAAACGAATGAAAATGCAAATAAAGAGAAAGATGAAAGTACAGTGTCCAATTCTGAAATAGTGGTTGGATCTAATCAAAGTAATGACAGTAATACAAATTCCGAGGAGCCAATAATGTTACCCGATATGTATGGACCTGCCTTACCTTCGAGATTAATTAAAACTGAAGATTCTACATGCGAAGCAAGCAGTTCTCAGGCCTTAAAACCTATGTTCAGAAGCGTGGTAGTATCCAAACCTAAGATAGATTCTAAAATTTCTGGAGTCTGGGTGGAGAAAAGGAAAGTGAAGAAATCAAAGAAGGAGAAGAAAAAACATAAGCATAAAGAACATAAAAGTTCGAGACACAAGCGAAAATCGAAGAAAGAAAGACGTAGTAGTTCGTGAAGCAAAAGATGAAACATTTGTAATAAAGAAATCAGCAAAAATATTGTAATAATAATAGGCGCATTATTCCTTTATTGTATGTTTCTTTCTTATTTGCAGTATTGTGTTTACATCCAATGAATAATTTGAAAATGCTCCTGTAATTACAAATACAAGTTTGTAATTACAATCAGTAAAGGCATATCCGATATGTACAAGAAAATATGTATATTATACATATACAATTATATGTATTATTATATATGTATAATTATATATATAATTATATATGTGTATGTTTTTTTATATATGCTCTAATATGTGAAATTGAGCAATTTTTATTTTCTTTGTAATAATTGTCGTTCATTGCTGTTGCAAGCACTTGTACAAAGATGTTGTACGGCTACTTGTTCGATGTTGTAGAGTTCCTTGAAGGTGGTCTGCTGTGATTTGTGGAGTTAAGTTTTTTCTCGACACTGAAAATATACATTGAATAATCACTTTTCACTTCTTCAATTAATGCGAAACACCCTGTATATTTATAATGAGCTTAATAATCAAGTATAAGTTAGTATTTTTTTAATTCCATTAGAGTTGAGAAATAAGTTTCCCTTAAAACATTTAATGCAATTTGTACAATTTATCTAATTGTTATAAATGATCGTTATAAATATAAATTTTTTAATTTATTTTTATCAATTTTCGTGTATCTCGATTGAAGTTAAAACATACCTGCTGCTTCTAGAACCTCTTTTAAACATGTCCGTTAATTTTTTCTTCAAATTTTTCTTTTCAGTCTTGTCGTTGATACTCGTTTCAGACCCTGATGTCTGTAAAATGGAAAATAGATTTGTAAATTGTTTGAACCGTTCGCGCAATGTTATTTCGTTACTTACCTGAAAGGATAGATCCATAGAAACATTCGGATCATCTACACTGGCTGATTTAGTCAATTTACTTGTGAGTTTCTTCATTAAACCTTTACTGTGTTTCTTATCTCGTTCCAACATCTCACTTTTTGTGGAGCCAGTTGAAAGGCGACTGTTTATAGAAAATATGAATGATTGGTATTCTCTAGAGTCAGATGTTCAGCAATTTGTAAATTTCATTCATGAATATATTAACATTACCTATCCACACTTGAATCTCTTTGCAAACTCATTGTACCTCCTTCAATGTCTGAACTCTCTAGCGATTGCAAACTGGACAAGTTGCTGTCGGTACCCCATATACGCGACTAAAATATTAGATAGATCAATTACAAATTACTCATTTAAATAAACACAAATAAATATAATTCTATTCGAACGGCAGTAAATAGAAATAACATTGTACATGTACCTCTTCGTTTCGAGCCGATGTTTGTTCTAAAGATAAGCTTTTCCTCTGCAAACGTGGTTTGGAACGGGACGTTGTTATACCCTTTCCTGGATCGCTTTCCACAGATGTTGATCTGCGAAGAAAAATAATCCTTTGATACGAATACATATCGTAATCGAAATCAATAGTTACATCTAATGATAGATACCTTTTACCAAGTTTTTTCATTCGCGTCACATTTGCCTCATCTGCAGTTTTCTTAGAATCCTTTAGTTCTCTAGCTACGTCCATTAATTTCTTAATAGTGTATTCCAACTTGTCAGACCTTTCACCGAATTGTGGATTTGACCCTTATAATACACAATAAAATATAATAGGACAATAGAAATAAAATTTCTTTAAATTTTATTTAATGAATGATTACGTAATAGTACCTCTTACATCGCCTTTCGAATCCAACAATGGCGACGATTCTCTCGATTTTGGTCCCTACGAGGAATAAAAATAATTTACTTTATGCATTTCTCTAGTACATTGATTGATTTATTTATTTATTGATTTTGTAGTTTCATGTACCTTTAATCGCCTAGGTGGAGTGGGCGTGTATGTAATTGGAGTACCGTTTTCAGCTATACCATTTAATTCAGGGAAAAGTTTTGTTAAATCGTTTACTTGTTGTAATAGTACATTGATGTTTCGTAATTCACTTTGCTCCTGCTTAGATTTTTTCATGATTACATCTTTGAGCTCTTCACGTTCCTTTTCGTGGCGTTCCTTCTCACGTCTCATTTTTTCATTGCTGGTTCTTAATTTTGCGTGAGCATCCCTCAACTCGAGCAAATCACATTGCAACTATAAACAGAAAATTTATTAAAATATCTACGACTATTTAAAAATGGAAGTTTCTAAGAATTAACTAACTTCCAGTAATTTCTTCCTACTCTCTTCTTTCTCTTCGTCGTACACCTTCTTTAATTGATCTTGCCGTCTCTTATTTTCCAAACGTTCTTTAGAACGTTCTCTTTCGATCTACAATAACAATTTAAACTTAATTAGATATTCAATGTTTTTTCTTTCTGTATGTAATGATCTCAAATTGTGCGATCAACATCCTAGTGGATTATTGTAGAGGTAATAAGTCTATAAATACTTCAAACAAGGTTTGCCGTAAGTCTCTCGCCAACGTAGCTGTTTCTTGTAAAAGCCTTTGGTGCTCTTCTCTCTCTTTTTGCCATGCTAACTCCATACGAACTTTTAAACCTGGAATCTTCGTCCTGCCACTCGTGAGCATTCTTTCTTCCTCTAACTGTAAAATGCAAAATTAAAATAAAATGACCTACTCTAGAAACATTGACGAACAGACTAGAATTAACAGGTACAATACCTCGTTAATTCGCGACTGAAGTTCAGACACTTTAACATGACTGGCTGATTTTTCAGATACCAATTCAGCTTTCAGCCTGGATGTTTCCAGTCTTGCTTCAGAAAGTTCATCTTCTAAGCTATTGATTTGCCTTTCGAAAACTAGTTTGTTGGTACCGGATACTTCTTCTTCCTACATTTATAACACATTTTTCTACTTCAGTTTCTCATAATTCATACTATATGTAATTGATGCATTCAACTTTGGATACATGTGTACATTACGTCTTATTTGCAATTTATTTGATACTTTGAGTCCTAACGGGTCATAACTTGTTAAAAAAAGTTCATATCTCAATACATTCGCGATCGAAAAATTTTTCATTTTCCTAATACTCATTACCGGTCAAAAGAAAGAAAATTCTAAATTAATTGTCACAAATTTCTAACGTTAAAACACGAATAAAAATTTGAAAACTTCTCTTAAAATATTAGTCTTGTAACGATATGTTCTTTGAAATTAATTTTCCGTTGAACAAGTCGCAAATGGAAAAGAGCAGAAGAATCAAATATTTTGAAAGTTAATCTATTCGAAAAGATATGAATTCACGTCAGCGGTCGCGACTGTGTTAAGAATAAAGTGATATTACACATTTCTGAGACGAATTCGTCCACAAAGAACCAACCTCGTCAGACTTTCCTGAAGACGCGTTCGAATGTCTACTTCTGCTAGATTTCAAATCTGCGATAGTCTTCTGAGCGCCTTCGAGCATGTGTTTATAAGTATCGCGTTCGCGTTTATATCGGGATAGTTGATTCTGAATAGTATGGATTTCGTCATTAATAGCGGTGATTCTGTGCTCGTATCGCATTTTGCATTGGGCGAGATCCGCTTTCTTTGCTTTCTCCATGTTCTCCAGAGCGTTCTTCAATTTCCGTATCTCAGATTCAAAGGCAGTGGTGTCTGGAGTTAATGCTTGATGAATCTTCGAGACAGCTTCGTAATCCTTTAACTTGTCTGCCATATCATCATTCTATAAAATATAAGATAATACAAGAATGACCCAAAACTGGATGTTCATTTCAATCATAATTTTAACGATAATCTTACCGCTTTTCTCAAATCTTCTAATCGCGTTACTAAAGTATTGTTCTCTTTCTTCAAATTGCTAATGTCATTATTTAGATCTGTTATTAAAGCCTTGTTTGGCAATTCACTTTCTTTTATTCGATTCTAGAAAATGATGAAAAAGAAAAGAACTTTAAATATCTGAAAATATTCGGTATGACCTTTCACTTGAAATTGTATTGCTTACTTCTAATATGCCTTTTTCAGACTTCCATTCGCTTTCTTTCAATTTCACGGATTGCCGTAGTGCTTCCAATTCCTTGCGAATACCAATTAGTTCTGCGTTTTGTTCTCGCAGCTTACTATAAATGAAAAATTATACCGTTCCTTAGTCTGAATCAAAATTCATTAAATTACATGATAAATTCAAGAAATTACTCTTATTACTACTACTTTTTCTCCCTTACTTATTTAAGGACTCGTTGTCCGCTTCAAACTGTCTGTTCAAATTCTCGAGCCCATTACACTTATCGCTAAGGTTGGTGTACTCCTGCTCACCTCTCTTCAGCTTGTTTTCCAGATCTGAAATATAAGTTACTGTTGCCTTATATAAAACTTCTGTGATCAATTCAAAGGAGATGTTACCAGAGTGGAACGACTTACTTAAAATCTGTTCATTATACGTCTGTTTCATCTCATTCATTTTCTTCGTGTTTTGCCCAGTCTTCTCTAACGAACCGATCTTCTTCTTTAGCTCCGTCACTTCACTGTCCCTTGTTTGTTTCTCTTGTTCAATATCACGCTGCAGCTTTTCCTTCTCTTTCTTCGCTTGTGAAAGCTCGGCCGTTAAATTGTTTATCTTCGTGGAATTTGAGGATTTTGTGTTCTCTAGTTCTTTTTTCAGTCGCTTTACTTCAGCATCCAGCTTGGTTTTTGTTTGTTCAACCTGTATTAAAAGAAAACATGACAAGAGTATAAAAATCTATTTTAATATTTTATCAATAAATTCCAGATGTTCATACAGATATAGAGTTTGGCCAAACAATTTACTAAAATTGAAATTAAAGGGAAATTCATGTACTCCTTATTATTGACTTAATATTTACTAATTATTAACTTACTATTAACTTAATATTTACTCACCGTAGACATCGACTGCGTCATTTTTGATTCCTTCTCCGTGTACGCAGATAAATCGTCCTGCAATTTTTTACTCTTTTCACGCTCTTGTGTCAATTCTTTCTTCATGTCATTTATCGTTTTCTCCAATTTCGCTCCATCCTTCTCCGAAGACTTAGCCGTTTCTATATACAATAACAACAGAAAATAACAATGAAACTTATCTTTATAAAGTATAGGGTTTTTTATACTACACATTTTCACCTAAATCTTTTTTCAATTGAACAACTTCGTTGTACACTTTCAGCTTTTCTGCGGAAAGCGACAGAAGTTTCGACTTCAGTTTTTCTTTCTCCTCGGACAAGGCTGACTTCTCCTCCTCCCATGCTTTTCTTTCAACTTCCCTCAGTGACACAGCTTCGTCCAATTTCTTTTTCACTATAAAATTTTGGTTGGAATAGTGCGAAAAGAATACGGTTCGAAAATGAAATAAATTAATTTAACAGGTCACCCACTATTCTGTAGATCTGGGTTTTTATCGTCCGCCTTAGCAATCGGTTGTGTTTTCTTCTTCTCTTTCTCATGAAACAGTTCCTTCGTCATGACATCGAGTTTTTCCTTCAGAAGTTCGTGCTCCTTTAAAAGTTCAGAATACTTGGCTTGATCTTTAGATTTAAACTCTTGAATGTCCACGTCTCTGCCCTCGGAAATATTTGTAAAAACAGTCATCATGTCTCCTAAAATGTGAATCGCGTTTTTTTTAAAGTCACCTTTCTATAGAACAAAAACGAATCGTTCTAAAAAAAGGTATACCGCAGTATAGCATGATTTTAGGATGACTTTGAATCTTAATATTTACGCTAAAAGCATATAAAACATTGAATATCATTTTTCGTTTTCATAAAAAATTGGACATCTTCTTAATTCTTTGCGGACGAGAATTTTCTAAACTTTTAAAAACCTTTTTCATAAAATAGCTGAATTATATATCGACATTTTAAATACTAGAAAAAAGAAAATTACATATCAATCTCTTATTATTTGAATAATTAAATTATTCATTTGCAGCTTTCGAAATTATATATCAAAGCTCGAAGTCTCCATTATGGCAGCATTCGACCACAAGGGGTTAAAATGTATTATCGATACGAATATTAAGATTCAATGAACATTTCGTTTGACGTGGTCACACGTCAATTAAAAAGAAGACAAACACCATAGTTAAACGATTCGATTGTTCATTGTCAACTAATGGCAAACCTATTTCTTTCTCCATTTCTTCCACCATCTTCTTCAGTTGCACTTTGGTCGTAAATTCGGTCACCTTCTTCTGAGGCTTATTTTGGAACTCGCTTTTAATCTTCTGCAAGGTATCCTCGACTTTTTTCACCTAAAATTTGTTCACACGTCACACATACACACACCCCCACACATATTTTCTTTTTCCCCTAATCAATCGGTTTTATTTGTAATTCATTTTACCTCATCGTACTTCGATTCCAGTGTCGAGTTTTCGGTCTCCAACTCCTCAACCTTACGCTCGACCTTCCTCAGCTTGAACGATAAAATTCGACAATTTTTATTCGACTGTTCCAAACTTTTTCGCAGACGGACGTACTCGTCCGCTTGCTCATCCCTTAAGAATATGAAATATTGGTATATTACGCATTCCATTTAGTCATCATTTAATGTATAGCGTTACGGAACCGGATAATTACAAAATAATCCGTTACACGTGATTCAGATTATAAATCCATAAACAATAACCTATAGATTTAGATTTTTATTAGTAAATTTTTTATTCTTTCTTTTCGACATTATCAAAAATAAAATGAACGTTATACTATATTGTGTCTTGCACGAAAATAGTTTATTAGATTTATACATTCGAATGTATAAATTTAACTTTTAAATGTTTTATTAAACGAATGATACCATTGGATTGATACAAAAGTTTCGATGTTTTCTTATAAGAAACAAAGAGAAGAGTTCTCAACTGTTTGCTGGCTAAACCAAAATCAAGTAAAAATAAAGAAAGAAGTATCTTTTATACAAGTTATAATAGTTTGAAAACAGATGTTATTTGTATCAAAGAAAATAATTTTTTTATTGACCACGTACAAAGAACGTCACAATGTTTGTATCGACCCAATATATTTATCGCAAAGTAAACATAGAAATGAAAAGTTTGCAACGTCATATTTTCATTTCCAATGGATAAAAGAAGATTAATATTTCACGAATAACAAAGTGTTATCCAGTTCCGTGGAGCAAGCGTTATCAGAGAATGGCGACAGACAAAATGATTACCTTATTTTTGTTAATTCGTTCACGTACACAATCAATTAAATTGAAGCCGAACCGCCGCCGCTCATAACGGGTCTCCGTTCGCGACGGAAGCACGTTGGAAGCGTACGGGCGAGATCATGAAACATCGAAAGGGTTCGACAACAGTACACATAACGTTCCACGTACTGCTCTCTCTCTTTAATTAATCGACAAAGCTACGCTACTTTCGTCCCGCCGGTTTTACTCTGTTTGGGAACCCTCTTATTTCGTTTTTCTCAATTTGGAAATATGTACTCTCTTCCATCCGTACTCGATTGGGACCGCGAAAAATGTGATATGTATCCGGAATAGACGGAAGATTTTCTCTGTGTTTTTTACACGTTCGGGAACTGGTGTTACCCCGAGGCAACGAAACGCCCGCATTCGATCCAGTTTTGAAGAAAATGCAGCGACCGTAGTCGTGTTGGATTCATCTTCCGTCCAAATCGTCGTCCTGCAACAATTCAGATGGCTCATTTTGCTAAAAATATTTTTGAACCCGCTTTTCTTCTTGTTTTTGTTTTGATTCTGTGACTACAATCGAAGTTCTTCCGGTTCCTTCTTTTTCTTTTCTTTCTTTTTTCTTTTTTACCCTTTCTTTCTCTTTTCGTGCTTCGCCTTGTGATTCGATGGAAATTCGACTATTCGGGAAAGGACATCTTTTTCTCGTCGCATTCTTCTCACTTTCAGTTTCCTGACTTCTGAAACTGCAGTAAGTGGAAATGCACTGTTTTCGAGCCCCTTCAAAGTGTTCGTGTCGCGTTTGTCCTCGCGCCAGGATCGATCAAACGCGTTATGTTACTTATTGGTAATGCTTCGATATTTTCTTTTCGGTTCCTTTCTTTCTTTTTTGTATTCTGATTGTATCTTGGTTGTTCTGATCAGTCACACCCGCAAACACATGTATGTTATTCAGCAAAAGAAACTGTACACAAAGAGCGAGTCATGATTCGCCGCTGTCGGAGATAAAGTGTTTACTCGTTGGTTAATGAATCTGAATTCAGACAAACCTGTTAGTAGAATGCGTTCGATTTGTTCTTGAATTTGAATTATGACTGACACGAATACACGTCTCTGTTTTTAATGAATAAATTAATTCAGTTTGCTTCTTGGCCAAAGCTTGAACAGATATTTTGTGTATTAAATATAATAAACATTTTACAATAATTTAATAAACTAATATCTATACACTATAAAAAGAGAATAATATGAATACCCAAAAAATAGCAATAAAGGGTATTTAATTTATGATCCAAGAGAACAATGTTCAAATTATGAATCAATACACTATATTATTATTCTTCGCTATAATTTATATTTCTTAAAAATTTTGGTAAACTATTTAAAAAATATATATTAAAAATAATAATATATACGTCTTTAGAATTTTTGCCAACTATTCGAAGTAAGAGGGAGAACAATCGTATGTACAATTTTGTTTACTTCACAAAACGACATTATAAATGGGTAAAAATAAGCCAAAATATACATGCGTGAGTAAGAGAGAAAAGAATATAAACCTCTTTATTTACAAAAGTACGTATGCACCAACAAAGCGGAGGAAGATTACCTGAAAGTGTCCTGCAGCTCGTAGATTTCTTCTTCTAATTGTCGGATTTCTTTCTTCATGTCTTCGTTCTCGTCCATCAAAGACTCGCACAGATTTTCAGCTGCTTTCAATTTTGAACGGAGTTCATCTTTCTCTCTGTCCCTTTCGCCCCTAAATGGTTTCGTATGCACTTCTTTCTCTAGATCTCTTATTTTCGTCATCAGATTGCTTTTTTCTTGCATCAGAGCTGAGCATCATATATATATATATATTAATAATTATCATATTTTTCTTTTTCGAATAAATTGTTTGTTCGATCGGGTTTCTCGAGAAATAATAAATATATTCAGATTGAAGAAAATAAAATTATGTTTGATGGTTATTTATCTTCAATTTTCACGAAGAATTTTCTTTTTTCGTAATGGAGAAAATGTTTAGTTTGTAAAGAACAGAGTATCACATTTGTTTAAATTCCTCTATTAGTAATTTACAGTAGTACCTTCATTTTTCTTTTGCAACTTTTGTATTTCATTCGGTGAAGTTTTTGACATTGTTTCCATGGTGGATAAACGTCTCATTAGGATCTCGCTCTTTTCTTTCTCCGCTTTCTCGCATCGCGCTTGTAATTCTTTCACTTGTGACTTTAGCCTCTCTAATTCGCTTTGTTCCTATATAATAAATTCGATTTCTTCAGTTTTATTTCAGTCTTATTTCTTAATCGATTTCATTGAAAATACTCTTCGATCACGTTTGGAATAATATTTTTAGAAAAGCATATTTTTTATATAATTTCAAAGTAAAATTAATATACCAATAATATTTTTAAATAATACTACTTCATATGTATCTTAACACTAAATCTTAACACTAAGTTTACAGAATGTATTACATTGAATTTTATAAAGATTGTTTCTTAAATGTTTATATCAATTTTTATTGATGCACTTGTATGAATACGTATCCCGATTGACTATTTACAAACCCCTAATTTCAGAGATATGAATGAATGGACATCAATCATTCTAGGAACAATAAAATAAACTATAAAATTAATGCCCGTAAACCTAGTGTTAATATTGTTATTTTTTCTATCGTTACCTTATTAATCTGATGGTCATCATTTTGCGTAACATTCTTCGGAGTCCGTGATTTCTTCACCTAAACACACGAATAGAGTTTCCACTTTCATTAAACTTCGTGTAATATATAGTAACATAAGTTTCTCTTTATCGCGAATGTTTTCTTAAATTAGTAAAACACAGATTATCAAAAGATAATCGGCAAAGTTACAGAAGATATAATCTCCGTTTCATACATTAATCTATAATGAATTTCATAAAGTAAAACAGAGCAAATATTTCAAGTTACACGAGGAGTATTTAGATTTGAGAAAAAAATGGTCCATAATTAAAATTAAAATCAGCTTTACCTGAATTATGTATTCGACGTCATTTTCGGATGCGCTCTCGTTACTGTTATCTATGACTTCCTTGATTTGTAGTTTCGATGGTTTTCTGGCTGTAATGAGTATTATACATATATTGTAGATATTCAAATTAAATGTTTGCGCTATTTCATGATAATAATCGTTTGAATTCATTTGCCTTTACTTTAAATCACTAATGAGTGGTAATTCATTCGTATATAATGTATAAGCTCGGTTACATAACTAAGTACCTTCTTTCCTTTCTTCCTCTTTATCGATAGCGGAAAGATCCATAAGCGACGTCCAACCGGCTGCTGCGGTCGGCGGTTCCACATTGTTTTTGAAATCATCTTTAGCCAAATTTGTTGCGGACGACCAAACTCTTTTTCCATTTTCCGATGAACTAAAAATTAGAATTACCGTGACAAACACAATTGATGAATAATTTATGATAATTTGTAAAATATAATTATTGATTTTCCTAAGTATTACTTATTATTAATTAATCTTATTATGCATTTTATTGTTTTTTATTAATTATTGTTATTAATTTTTCTTATTATTACTTCTTAAGTATTACTATCTATTAAAGACTCTTACTCGTAATTCCCACTATTTTATAAAATAAACAGCTCTACTGAAACTTAAAATTCTTTCGATATTATCGTCGCAAAAGAAAGATATTTTCATACAATCCTAGTTTTTGTGGATTAGTTTAGAAAAATTTGTACCCGCGTTAACACTTTATCGACCAAACATACCAATTGGTGTCACATGTGAAATAATTATATAAATGCGGTAAAATTCGACATTGTAGTTAATTCAAAGGTACGAACATTTAAATGAAAGAATCAAACATTTTTCTCATTTTCCGAAAAAGCGCTGAATCGATCAAATGTTAATCACTTGTCCTACGATTTCTTTCACAATTGTGCTTGATAGGACTAACAAGGGAAGTTATCGAATCCGGAAACTCAGAATACTATCAAACTTTGTGTATAAATAGAGTAAGTCAAGTTTAATACATTGCAATTTTTTTTCACAATGATGAAAAATTTTATTTTGCTGTGTTATAAACCTGAAAGAACAATGTATTTTTCGTTGAAATTTTTTTCGCTATCTCTTACCGTTCTCAAGATAATCCACGAGAAAGAAAAATTTACATTTTTTTCAAAGGGTGGTTTCACCCCTTCCAAGTAAAACTCAACAGGAAAAAAATTGCAATGTATTAGGACTGACTTACTCTACTTGCACATAAAGTTTCATAACTTTTTGAATTTCCGGATTCGATAACTTCTCTTGTAAGTACTTTATCGTTAATAATTTAGTGGAAAGAAAAGATTTTGATACTTATTCTGTGTTTACATTTATTCTAAAGGTTAAATGATCAATAATAGATGAGCAATATTTCATTTATATGAAAAATAAATAATATTTAGATTTGTCGAATTCGGTTGAAAATTGTCATCGCTACTCTGATTCGACATTATAGTCCAGTGATCAACGTTTTCTTGAACTCACCGGCCTGATGATTGCTCGAATGAAAGACTAGGTGTCGACGACGTAATATCCCTTAAACCGTCCCTTTTACCCCCGTGTTCCTTGTAATCCCTAAAAGCATTTTATTAATTGCTATATTAATTCAGAAATTTTATTGATTGTCCTTTTTTATGTTACCGTTAACAAAACGCGAAGAAGAATACCTGAAACATCTTTTGCAACGAGTCGGCCATCTTACTTGAGGGTGAAAGCCAAGGGGGCAGAGGGGATCACCTTTCTTCGAAGAATACATATGGTGCATTCTGTAAAAGTTAAAAAAACAGATCAGCGTGAGCTAATTTATATATTTTCCCAGTTGTAAAATTATTATAACAATATACCCCTCGCACGAAAAGATTTATTGTTGAATTTTCATATGAATATTTTATTTACAAAATGCCATGATTATCATTGTATTTGTCTCGATAATCGATACAAATATTTTCTACATATAATTGGTGAATAATCATAAGCACAGTTGCTTGGTTCGTTTGATCGAATACTTTGTGTTAGGGGTGGTTCAAATGATTATTGCCGCTTGTAGCTAGACGAGCATATGGCGGACCGGTAAGAATCATTCGTGCGATGTATATACGACGCCCGTTTAAGTCCGGGTTACATTAATCACTTGCAATTAGACACAAAGGTCAGTATACAAGAAGAACGAGATGACAAGTACACAGTAAGTTCCACGTGACAGGGTAGATAACCATAGTTAACGAGGGATGAAGTATAGTATTAAAATATATTATTCATAGATGATTCATAAATCATTAAATATTTAACACTTTAATTCCTGTACCTGGTAGTGCTTTGACATTCAACAATTCTTCCATATCCTTAAACATTTCATTAATGTTTTGAAGACAACATGAAACATCGACGTAATTATTAGTCACCGTGAAATTCATTAATATTTCAAATGGCTGTAACCTTTGCGCAGTCGACGCTGGCTCATTTTTAACTCATCTCTTACGTATGTTTGTACGTAGTAAGACAACCAATTTTGTAGCGTGTTGTACTATTTCCAATTCGATGAAAACTTAATTTTTGTACTTCTAAAAAATCATTTATTATTTGTAAATTTATTTTCCTATTTTTTGAATACTTTTTACTACTATGTACCATTAAATGAAAAGTTTAATTATTTAACAAGACCACTATAGAATAATACAATATTGATAGAGATAATGGTTAATGAGACATGACATGGAAATTTTCTCATAAAAATGAGTCATAAAAGACACAGCGTCGAAATTTTACATTATCAATCGTTTGAGGGTTAGAGGTGATAGTAAATAGGCGCGAAGTAATCATGACGAAAACAGAGGAGGAATGTCCTGTACTTAGAACTTCATACCACCATCAACGGGACGCGGGAAATTTGAATTGCTGTGAACCGAAAATCTCGATGAAAGATTTCCGATGCAGGGCATATCTCGTTGCGAGTGTCACACGCGGCGATCTAACAATCGAGCCCTTCTCGACTCTAAAAGCTAGAAAGCCGGCTCTAGAGAACCTAGAAACGAAACCTTGAATTAATAGGAGAATACGTTTCGCAACGCGTAAGCCAGCTTAGGTTTCTGTAGAACGCAAAATAGTTGGCGACGCATGTATGAATTTTGAATTGTACTCCTGGCTCCGGGGTTAAATATCTGTAACGTGCACATGCATCATGGAAATCCGGACATGTACAGTTTTCTGTAATTCGACATAATATATAATATAACCTTCACATTGTCCCAATATTAAAAGAATATTCTGAAAAAAATCAATGTTACAATTTGACAAAAATATTTCTTCAAACTGGTTGTTTTGATAACGTCCATCATGTTTAATTACAATATTTTCATAAATTAATGTTTCCTACTTGTTTATAATTTAACCAGATAAACTTGATAGTTATAGCTGTTTTAAAGTACTTCACTCAGAAAAGGATTTATTGTGTCGTTTACCGACTAAATCCAACAGTAATGCAATTTCCATTAAAATTGTAAACTCGCCAAATAATTCGATCAACCTAGTAAATTGAACATCTAAGAAAACGTGTAAATTTCTACTTAATCAACTTCGTACGTCTAATTAAATAGCTCTTGTAATCTCGATTTAGAAACGCGCGAATTTTGAGTGAATCCCAATCGTCCATCGGAATCCTGTAATCGGTAGATCAAATGAAATTAAATCGTACGATAGAGTCAATTGTCTCGCTAGAATCGTTCGACCCACGCATGTCTCGTTGCAGTCTTATTCCAAAAATACGAGAGCGTAATACATCGAGTCTCGAATTCCGTATCGAAACTGGCATATCTACGCGCGTAGAACGTTCATGGAACAGCGGAGATCGAATCTGAATCGTTGAAATCGATTTCTCGCGGGGATCGAAACGAGAGCCTCGATAGGGAAAAATATTTGAATAAATCGATGAAACTGGTCGCTGGATCCCGGTCAGAACTTACGCAATTAGGTATTGACTACTCACTTGATCGATGTTAACCCAAATGCAGCAAGCGGTCACGATTAAATTTATCTGGCACGTCGTTAAGAACGGTCGCGCACGGCTTGTGGAAACGCACCTTCCATACCGGGCAGAGATGGGCCCGGCAATTTCATATCAGACGAACCGCAGCGGACGAGCAATCGATGAACACGATGATCGATCACCGCGCCCGGATTTAACGAACCCGAAACGTTCCTCTATCGATAAATCGCCTCGACCAAGAGCCGTTTACATTTTTCACGCTTTCTGCGTGCACCCCGATCACTTTTTTCTTCCCCCCTTTTTTTTGCTTGTTCTTCGCCGCCCGTTAACCGCGACAGTCACAACGTCGATAGACGTCACTAATAGCACTGACACGATGCTGCTATTACAGGGGTTAGGCCGTTACTCGAACTCGGGGCTCATACGTGTGGTAATTTGGAGGCTCGCCAGGGTGTATATTTATCTCTAGCTATAAATATAGTACGGATTTCTGCGAGTGTCGTCGCGTCTCACGTGTGCGTGCGTGGGGCCTC